TATCTACATACTACTCTCCAAGCAGAGGTTGTGGGGGGGATGATCGTTAGCTTTTTATATAAATCAAATCAAATCAAATCAACTTTATTGCTCAACAATTGCAGCTGGTACAATGTATATATGGCCGTTTTTTTGTCGGTGGCCGGCGACCTTCTCTGGCTACGGATACTGCCTGGCCAATTTGATACTGCTTTTTGCCACCGAGAGGGATCTACTTGGAGAATGTCGCACTTTCTGGGTAGAATATCGAGTCTATTATCGACCGCTGAGGTCGAGCATGATACGATATTATCCAGACAAATCTGTGTAGATTGATACGATTGCACCCCGCGGACTAGAGCTGCGGTTATAGCAACCAATCAAAACATAATTTGCCACGAAATCTGTGATATGCATGTGCATCATCATCATCAGTCTGTTACTAGCAATCTAGTTGGCACATGGCGTCAAGAATACATATTTGTAGTCAGAGGTGAAACTAGTCTGACGGTCTTAAGGTATTTAGATCGTACACTATTTCTGAAATATTTCATCGCCTTTGTAGCTCTTTCATGCCTAGTTCAGAAAGCTGTCTTAAATGTTTGTGCTGTATATCACTAGTAGTATTAGCTGTTGCGCTCTGTATCATACCGTTATCGTACGAAAACACGCAATTACTTAGGATCCTAAAAATAACCGGCTTTTACTACTACTCCGGGATGATGGTAAAATGGTTAAGTATTCAGTAATTTTCTTCGACTTCGGGCACGATTTCGAAATTCTTCACATGAGAAACTCAAGTACAGTTTATATTAGCCTATTCGAACGGAACGAATTTTGTCAACAGTTTTGCCGAGGCTATTCCGGTGAATGGAGGGGGAGGTATGTGCTGTAGACAGATGTATTTCCGAAACTCATTGACCACCAACAACTGTTCATGAGAACGCCTGAGTGTTGAGTGTGGGGGAGCGAAACCACCAAAGGAGTAATCGAAAACATAATTTGGATGTTTCTGTCTTCTTTGGATTGTTATTTTGGCGAAGCATTCATACATCGTAATCTTATGATTGATATCATTCATATACCCCACAAAAGCCCCACAAAAATACCTAGTGTGACTAGGTGTTAGAAATTCTGTATAGGTACCGTATATAGTCTCACCGTGTACTTCTTGTAGAGTAGATTATACTTTCCTAGAATTATTAGGTTCTAGAATTTGCCATATGTTGCATCATATAATGCTATTGCATTCGTTAATAGGGCTGATGCTACGATGTTTGAGATATTTCCTTGTGAAGTTACTAGCAGGGCTAGTGAGTTTCCAAACGTTACCGTCTGTCCCACAGACACTTGAACCAAGGACATTATCCTGTATAATGTCCTTGCTTGAACCCAGTTAGTAGAGATAAACACAGTTAGGCCGTGATGATAGTGTAATCACGGTGCCGAGTTGGGAGGATTAGCCTGTACATTATGTGGACGGCAGAGGAAATCCCTCGTTAAGATAAATCCCCCCTATCAGACAATGGAACGTCCTACAATTTGTTCTAGCAACATTCTATGCTTTGCGTTCTATTTTAGTCTCCCCTATTCTATACAGACAATTCTATATTTACTCTATTGTATACCGACCTTGGGTACTGACAACCCAATAATACTACTAATATCATTTGCCTTGGTGAATGAATTGTAGCAAACATTGAACAAGGATGTATAAACGAAACATTGTTGGCACTCCTGAATTTTCACACAGCAATCTCTGTAGATGTAGCCTTGTGTACTTAACCCAGTTGCTATGGTTTTGATAATGCAATAGTAACTAGATTTTATATCTATGTTTGGGCTTCGCATAGCCTCTTCATAATCACCCACGATTAAAAATGGCAAGTGACCTCATTCCATCAACACCATGTGTAACTCTTCACAAACACATGTTCCTCAAGTGTCTCCGTGGTTTATGTAACGTTAGAGAAACACTTGAGGTACTGTCATCGCAGTTCGACAGGTGGTAAGACTCCTTGCAATGTACCTGGTGGATTTGTAGCCTCCATAGCACTCCAAAAACCGGGCGTTTTGGGGGTCTTCAGGGTCTTTGGGAGCTTTTATGTGCTATGTTCTGATTGCATATAGACAACATAGCCGGCCTGGTTGAATTACTCCCGTTTTTTGGAACTGGGCTTATCAGAAAACAGCCGAAGACCACCAAACCCCCAGTTCTATAAGCCTGCTACTAGAGCTGTGTACCTAAACAAATTTTAGGTACAGGTACAGGTACAGGTACACAGGTTTAGGTACAGGTCCGGACCTGAACCTGTACCTAAAAAATTCGACCAATTTACATGCTCTTCTGAACTCTTTCAATAGCAACAAAAACATGTATACACTTGATAGTTAAGGTTTAATTTTGGTTTATGGAGAATGCTCAGATAAAATATAGGCAAAAGTAAGGTATTATTGTTTTCATGAACACACTGTCCTTACATTGGAACCCATTGGCGACCAGCTATTTCCACATTTAAGGTCACAAATAGGCATAAAATTGGTGTGAAATTGTTTAGGTACAGTACCGGTACGAAAGGGATTAGGTATTTTGGACCTGTACCTAATCAATTTTTCCGGTACAGTATCGGTACTGAGTATCGGTACACAGCTCTACCTGCTACGGAGGCTAGTGGATTTGCACGATCTTGGAGCTTCAATACGACCTCCTCGGTCGGATTCTAAGAAATGCTGAAAGAAATTTGGCGAAGAGATAAGAGAACGTTCGTGCCAAGCTCCAACCTCGCAGCTCTGTCAGTGTGTTTATCTTTGGGAGTTTTACTCGCATCACGCCAGGCTGAGAACGTCAGGACAGCACGGCAGAGTGGCCAAAACCAAACTCTGACAGAATTTCCGGTGTCATCGAAGAGCGTTTGGAGGTCAACGCGGAGTGTAAGCAACTCCACCGCCGGTCGTGCGAAGTTGTCGTTGTCGTGTAATTGCAACCTTAAGTTGGGAAAAGGCGGGAAAAGCATGGCAAAAAAAATCTGAAAGAAAAATTTGGCAGAAAATCTGACAGAATTTCCGGTGTCATTGAAGAGTGTTTGGAGGTCAACGCGGAGTGTAAGCAACTCCACCATTGGGCGTGCGAAGTTGTAGTTTTCGAGTAACTGGCGAGATCCTACCACACAAACGCAACCTGGGCGGGAAAAACATGACATAAAAATCTGAGAGAAATATTTGGCAGAAAATCTGACAGAATTTCCGGTGTCTTGGAAGAGTGCTGGAAGGTCGCCCAAAGTTGTATTTTTCGAGACCGTATCACACAAACGCAACTTGGGCGGTGGAAAAGACAGGAAAAGCATGACAGAAATGTTTATAAAAGAGAGCAAACTTAGACAAGTATGCTCATATTCATGAATGAAGTGACTAGAAACTAGTAGTATAGTCTACGTAAGACGGCTACGAAATACTCACCACTAGTACTACAAATTACAAGGTCTAAGCACTTTAATTTCAATATGTACAACACAGAGAACATTACAGGTACATGTTGATATGTTGTGACAGAAATTTCTGGCATAGAAAATGACAGACATGTCAACGAACATTCCAAGGTCAAATGAGAAGGTGCGGAGAGAGGTCATAGCTTCGGCATCATTGTTCTTAATGACACTACCCTACAATTATTGTGTCAGCGGCTTGTCTAAAGGGTCTGCCTATACTGAGTAGCCTGTGGCTTGGATATTCATTCTGATTACACATTATTATGGCGGCATGGTGCTTTGAGGATGGCGAAATTTATGGTGCTCGTTAAAGACTTTAACAGTCGCCGCGAAACGTGTCTTTAAACGCTCTAATTTGACGGGCTTTTAATTATGTGCGCCAATTCATAACTTACAGGTCAGAAGGCAACAACAAAACAAGATGGCGGATCGTCTGATGATAGTGACCAGATCACCACTGGTTCCATGTCGAACACACTCCGCCATTTTGAACTATAAATGTGTATCATCAAGGAATAATGTCCTTGGTACCATGAATTTGAGAATAAAAGAAATGATATGAGTGATTAGAAATGAAGAAAACCCCCAAAACAGAAAATTGAAATAGTAAAATTGAAATGTGTTTTTACAAAACTCACAGGAGGGAAACCAAAGAGAAGCTAACATTACATGATTGTTTTGCAGACAAACAACCCATAATTCAACCCATAATTCCTCAGTGCTTGCGTCAGTGGAAAATCCCCTAACCCAGTGGTTAGATAGACTACCCAGTATTTATCGTACTTCGGTATAATGACCCCCTTTCTACCTGGCGTTCCGGAGGTATAATTATGTTTTGTGCGGGATAACAGGCGTGTGTAGGCGACTTTCCGACCTCCTAGACTCTGCCACAGGTTTGACATTTTTCCAAATCCCGCCATCTTTGTGTCTGGGGCGAGGCTAAGCCGGGGGTTTAGTCCGTCCTTGTCGCGAGGCGCCACCGGATTTTCCCTTTGTGACAGATTGTAGCGAACAGTAGTCTGACTATACTAACCAGTATGTTGCCCTTACGCAACGTTAAACAGGAAAAAACGTACAAAATTTGATTGAATTCTTAAAATACAGTCTGAAATGTACCTGTTGCCGTAACATAATCAACAGAATTTTTAATGCTAACATGTTATATAATTGAAAGTTTATTGCAAATTCATGCCCGAGGGCTAATTGCAAGAACATGATAACAACAGTAAACAGTAGAATGATAATAATAAATAATATATACATGTATATCAGTTTGTAAAAATCTGTATGCAAAATATCGTATTTTTTCTAGTATTTTAATAGCATTCTACCCAACTGTCATTTTCCATATTACAGACAAGCAACCTAGCTGTTTAACAAAGAATTTGGCTGATGAAGATATCATGATGATTTCAACGCGAATCGTGCATTTTGATCATATCATTATTCCTGTGAGAATTGTGCTGTTTAGTATAGTGTTTTTACACCGTTGGGAAGTCTGATTTAATGTATATGTATTGCATTGTTTTCGCACAGATTCCAGAGGGAGGGAGGGTACGTCCTGGAAGTGGACATCAACGACAAGCTGGACATCATCTGCCCGCGGCTCTTCAACCAGTACAACGTCATGTACGAAGTCTCGCGAGAGGGTTACGAGACTTGCAACTCTACCGGCGGCAGGTTGTTGCTGAGGTGTAATCTCCCCGAGAGGGACATTGTCCTGACCATACTGTTCCAGGAGGTCAGTCCCTCGCCGTTCGGACTGGAGTTCGTGAAGGGAAAAGATTACTATTATATAGGTAAGTTCTACATATCTCAACCAAATATATTTTACACCTTTTCTTAAAAGACTTGTGTCTCAATTTAGATGCTTAAATCAATTTAGATACTTAAATCTCCAAGCAGATCAGGACTAGAATTCGAGAAGGGAAAAGATTACTATTATATAGGTGGGTAGTGCAGCTCCCAACCTAATATATTTTATACCTTTTCTTAAAAGACTTGTGTCTCAATTTAGATGCTTAAATCAATTTAGATACTTAAATCTCCAAGCAGATCAGGACTAGAATTCGAGAAGGGAAAAGATTACTATTATATAGGTGGGTAGTGCAACTCCCAACTAAATACATTTTATACCACGTCAAAAACTTAATCTCCAAGCAGATCTTTCGGTAGCTGCAAAGACGGTATCGCCAGGCAGTATCAATTTGTCAGTCGCCGTAAAAATATACCATGTACCAGTACAAACAACAAAGCCCAGTAAAAACGCCTTAAACCGTCGAAAATAGGCAGAAGCCTAACCTCTGATTGGAGAGTATCAAATACTAGTACTCTCGAGTGAAATACTATTAGTATTAGTTCGTATTTCTAGTGATGACTACTTAACCTTTGTCCTAATAGTTACTACTAGTTACATAGATTTCGGCCGTAGTTTACAGTTTTCTATCTACCTACGGCGTTGACAAACAATTAAAGAGATATCAATCTGTAAGAAATCCATGCTTATTCCATATCTACTGCAACAATCAAAGGATTAATAACGGCTTAAAGCAATTATTAGTGCCTGGCTATTCAAAACAACGTTGCCATAAACGCATACTACAAAAACTAAAAAGATACATGAAATGCTTTTTCTTCCTTTATTATAGTCAAATAGTTAAACTCCTTAGAGGGGCAACGTAAACCAAGGTCACCACAATAGATAATGTACGTCTTACGGCGAGCTACCGCAATAATTTATGCCCCTTCAAGTCGAAGATGCCAAGATATGCCTTTAAACGTTTGTGTAAATGTCAGAGGGATTAAGCCATGAAAGGTGGGGGATTAAGGGTATATAATAGAAGCCCGGTGCGTCATGGCTAAAGGCACATAACTGAGGGCCTGCATGGAGGTAGTGATTACGAATTACGCAAAATTTTCGCCGCCAATTACGAATTACGTTAAAGTTTCAGAGCTGATTACGACTTTACGCTTTGCAGCTAATGTTCTATTACGAATTAGTAAGTATGTTGATTTTTTGGGAGGTTGTCTACGGATTACGGAGACTAAAAAGACCTGATTACGTCTTACGAAAAAGGGCATGCAGACCCCCATAAGGCCATGTTGATTTGATTATATGGATGACATCCTCTGGGAACCCAAAATCTGATGCGCGCGTGCGAATAAAAAAAAAGTTTTGCAAAAAAAAAAGTTGCTTTCACTATGTGGTCATGAAGGTTGAACAAATGGCACAGAATATGTTATGGCGAATAATCTACTCTTCGAATTCATTTCTTTACATTTTTGTCTTTTTTCCTTTGATTTTGGCATTCTACGACATTGGTATCGTTTCTAAATGTTTTCCTTGCAACTTATGGTATATTTTTGCTCATGTAGCAACTGTTTTTCACGATTTACAGTATGGTTGAAAACTTTTTTTTTGGAAACGGCCGAAAATTCATGCGCGCGCGGATGTCATCCATATAATCAAATCAACATGGCCTAACTACGGCATGGGGCTGGGAGAGAGAGGCTTTATCGTTAGAGCAGGGATGGCGCCGGGAGATCATTACTGTGGCGGGAACGGTTAGGATTGACCGGGATGTCGTCCCAGGAGACATATTAGCCTCCACCAGACTCCTCTGCAGGCCGAATAAATAGTAAAAATCGGCCTAAAAAGGGATGCAACTGCGCAGGGGAGTTGGCCGACCATAGATGGTCCAATTTGCTGGCTTACTCCGCTGGCCAGTAGTGTTCCTTTTTAGACCGATTTCTACTGTTTGTAGAGCCTGCAAAGGAGTCTGGTGGAGACTAGAGACATATAGCGAGGACTGTAGCTAAAGTTTTTAAGTTAGGAGCCCTCTGCTTACGAGGTAAATGTACAGAGGATTACGAGGGAATATACTCGAGGATTAGGGTTGAGATCTCCCAATTTCGCATGGAGATGAGGGAAATGACAAGTCGTGAAGGGAGGACAAATTGGAAACGTTAATGGAGAGGACTAGCCTCTACCAGGCTTCCGGAGGCGGCTGGAAAGAGTAGAAATTGGCCACATAGAGAGATAATACGCCAGGGGAGTTGGTCCGCTGGAGGTAGAGTACAGTTTGCTGCACCCGAAACTGTACTCTCCTGTATATCCTATTGTCGTACCTGATATAACGCTATTTGGTGTATTATAAAGACAGATACAGGACCCTCAAATCGTTCATCGTTTTTCTCCTTTTTCGGTCGATTTCTTCTATTCACTTGACCCAAAGATAGTCTATTAAAAACTACGACTACGCCTCCCCCCCCCCAAAAAAAACGAACAGTTAACGATCGGGAAGAGCGGTTGTTTATCTTGTACTTAGAAGCTCCGCATGTAAAGCCGCCGTGTTCTACCAGGGGTCAAACGTGTATCCGTTCTTGGCGACACCGTCCAAACCGGGACATGAGGTAATGCGTACAACTCCACAATTACTCCCCACACGCGAGTCAACCCTAAACTCTAACTGCCTCCCCGTGTGGCGCTATTTCTGGAATCCAGACTCGTCGTTAAGTCTAATTAACCTTAACGTTGAACGCTCCTGCAATAAAAACAAACGCCCGCACGCGAGACACAAGCTACGGGGAGCTGACACGCCACTGGCTTCGCCTAGTCTCCATCAGACTCCTTTGCAGGCTGAATAAGCAGTAGAAATCAGTCTGACAAGGAATGTAACTGGCCAGCGGAGTTAGCACAGAAATCAGGCAAATTGGGCCCTCTATGGCCGGCTAACTCCTCTGGCAAGTTACATCCCCTTTCTAGGCCGATTTCTACTATTTATTCGGCCTGCAAAGGAGTCTGGTGGAGACTAGGCGGCTCTGTGCCAAAGTTGGTACTCGCGACTTTGTCGGTATAGCACGGAACAATGCCGGTACAACCTGTTACAAGTCTCCCATGACCTGGCCGCCGCTTGAAGAGGCGCTACACGAACTTTCCTTAGTGTGTGTGCTTGGCCCTGCAAATATAACACAGGTGTTTGTTCACGTTTGAATGCAAACTTTTTGGGGGGCCTTTGCAAAGGTTAGCCCTAACTTTGCAGATGCATTTTGGACAAAGCAACGTATTCATAGTACTGCAAACGCTTTTCTGTCAAATATGCCACTTGGAAATAAATTGCAAGTTTATAAAAATCAAAACATTTTGCTTTTCTCCTAACCAAAACATAAGATACGAAAGGTAACGTAATTTTTACGTCAAAGATTGAAAGAAAAATTGTACGTCAGGGAACCGGTGTACTTTTTTTGTCAAACCACCGAAACTACGAAAATAAACTGAAGAACACTTAAGAAACGCATACCTGGCATGACATTGACAAGTGCATGACGAAAAGACCGAGAGGTAGCATGATTGATAACTATAAATACAATGTAGTTGACAAACTTGTCACCATACTTGTATGGGAGGTATGAAAACTGACGACAGAGTAGTGCTTGCGGATTTGCAAATGAACCACCAAGAATGTCATGGAAAACTGTTCCGTCAACAAACACCCAAATAACTGGGAGAGTTTACAACAAATACGCACATAGCCGGGGGCTAGGGTAAAGGACGCGGAATTATAATGTTGTTGTGGCGGCATCCTTGGAATAGTTTCCAAAGTGTCGCCATACCAGGTGACTTAGGTTAGGTCCCTCTAACATATCAAAACATTATAACAATAGCCGGTACCAGATGTTTAATAAATACAGAAACCTTATTATTAAGACCTGTTATAACATAGCAATTATTAAGAACTGTCCATTTTAACGTTACAGATGGTTACAATAAAGTTTTTATCGCCAGGAGAGTCGATTTAAGAATTGCATTATGAACGAGAAAGAAATTTAAAAAAAAATACGTAGAAACCAAAATAGAAGTTTCCTAGCAACGCAGTGTTAAGATTCTAAATGGAGTTACCTTAATATACTTCCATTGAATGGAGACTAAATTTGTAACCCTGAGTGCTAAATCTGGAATGTTACATTGCGTCCACAAATCCTTTGTCTGTGTGAGCTGTATGTTGTGACCATGACTTGTTCCGTAACTATCAGATACAGTTCCACTGCTGACATAAACTCGGGAATTCCACCTGTAGAAACCTCTATCCTAAATCAACACCAGGAAAGGAAAGTCTCCTGTTCTAACCTTCCTTTCTAAGTCTAGAGTAAGCCTACAAAAACATTCCATTGTCGCTACCTAGACCGAGCGATGCACATTTGCGTGTTGTAGTAATCAATATTTTCTCTGACGTTTGTCAAAAGAAGCTTACACCAGCGCAAGTGCCTTTTAACAGTCTGGTATTAGAGGAACACTAGTCAAAACAACTTTCCCGACAACACAGTTCTCACAGACCGTACTCCGTAGTGGAGCCAGTGACCACTTGTGCAGTACTTTCGTTAACGTTGCCTAGAAGTGTCTTGCTTTCTGTTGCGTGGCAGGTTGCCAACATATGTGAACACTAGTTACACTGTTTTACTATGTACAATGTTTAACACAGAGGCCTGAGTATGCTTCTTTGTGCGTTATGTTTTCAAATATATTATATATCTAACCCTGTTTATAATATTCTCAAAACACAAATCGCACGTGTAAGTACACAAAATAACAAACACATGAAGCGCTGTGTAGCATAACAAAACATGGCGTCACATGGCATTGTCTAACACAACATGACATGGTACTAAAACATAGCGGTCAATGGAACACTAGTCTGGCGCCTAACAAAATAATACAGCTTTTAACCAGACGTATGCCAGGGTAGAGGCTCCGATCTGGTACAATTACCGATTCATGACATCAGAGATGTCGATTGGAGTCTGTAAATTTTAAGAAAGATGTTCGCTTAAAAGACAGAGCTTTTCAATTTTAATTCATGTCACTTTACATCAATGGATCGACTTGAAATTTAGGATTTCTAAATGTGCCCTGATCGGAGTCTGTCGAAAAAGACTTGGTTGGCATCTAGCTACCTAACCTGACATACAGATAAAGTTACCATGGTTACAAATAAACAGAAAAGTGCAGAGGCAATTAAGGTACTCGTCTGTTTGTATAGAGATGAATAATTCTGAAACAGGTGTTCAACTATACTTTCATAAGTTCATCTGTGTTGGTAGTTACCTGTTTAGAGTTAAAACTTTAGATCCAACACAAAAGAGGTATCTGGTAGACGATGTCGGCCCCCGTCGCGGTTCAGTGAAGTGTTCAACTAAATCTGATGTTATTTTCTGTTTTAGCCACCTCCAGCGGTACGCCAGACACTCTAGACAACAGAATCGGCGGCAACTGCGAGTCACCCACATACATGAAGCTCACCATCAGAGTAAGAGGAGGTAGGTTCGAACTTATGTCTATTTCTTTCTCAAGATGCGTGTTAGTCTTAGATCTAGCCTCGCATCCAGCCTCCTTCACTTGCTAGGTTCGCTTTCCAATAGACCTACACAGCGACAGCAACCGTTGGGACACAGACTGTGACAGAGCAAAGTTGAAGAAGGCTGGACACTAGACTAGTGTTAGCTAAGTGGTAAATGAAGGCAGTCTGTTTTTATACTGTGTTAAACTTAGCTTAGCTTATCCAGCCTCCTTCGTTGCTTGGTTCGCTTTCTAACAGACGTACACAGCAATGACAACCTATGAGAAACGGAATTAAGCTGAAGATGGGCCTAAGAAAGATAATATCATCATAGCCTGGTTACCAAAGGATAAAGACTCTGGAGCTAGAATAGGTCTGGTAATCAGTCTAAGACCATCAAGGAGCTTGAAAATCTTTGGTACCATCTAAACAGTAATCTACAGTCACTTCTAACATCTGCTCGGAGATTTAGTTATGTCGAGGCCGACAGTTTTCATGCAGTTCAGTCGACAAGTAGAGAGGACAATGTCCGTGACATTGGCATTGTTTCTGACGTGATCCATGCCTCCCGCGGGACTGTTGTGTCTATACAAACCTTTCAAGTCGGCAGTGATGGATCAGTAGGAGCATGCTAGCTGACAATCCGTCAGGGAAATACCCAAACCGTGGCTGTCCTTGATTACGGGACGGCCCCAAACATCACTAATCCAATTTTCAAGAGAAAGATGTCTTTAAATCACTTTATGCAGTAATTGTTATGATTCAACTATACACTGGTAGTTTTCATGAACATGCCTCTTTTGTATATAGATACCAAAAACTAAAACCGTGGCTGTCCTTGATTACGGGGCGACTCCAAACATCAGTAATCCAATTTTGCAAAGAAAGATTTTAGCTTTCTGTAAATCACTTTATACTTTATATATTGTTATGATTCAACTACGCAGTAGTAATTTTAATGAACACACCTCATTTGTATATGGACACCAAGGAAACTGCAAGCAAGGCCGATTAGGCGGATACTAGCATCCATAGGACAGGATTTAACTAAACCGGTTATGTAAAAGCCTGGTATAAACGCTAGAGGTGTTAGCCAGGTTATCCCTGTTAATCATTCATCCGGTTATCTGAAGTCTGGTATGAAACGAAAGAAATGGGACACAAAAATTGAAGAAAAGCAGCTTGACCTAGAATTTCTGTGTTGAAAAAAATCATCCCGCATTGTCAACGTTATAAGTATCGTTGGAAGCTATTCTTGGCTTGGCTGACGAAAATACAATGTAAAATACTATACAGTACTACATGAATAAATTGCACCTGTCATGTACAATGCATTAACTCTAAACTCGGATTCGTGGCAAGCGGTCAGGTCAAACTACAGGGCTTCTGGCGGCAGGTAATGACATTGTGTAAATCCCTGTACATGTGATGTCAGTCGTGGTTAAGTCTTTGATTAATCACGGAGGCAACATTGGGTCACAATCAGATTAAGACGGCAGGGCCTCGGATGAGACAATTCCACTGTTAAGTGTTTTCATCGAATTAGACCCAATCACTGCATTTGATGAAAAGAAGGCTGCTTGGTTTTAACTCGATGGGGAAAACATGTTCAATAGAAGCGTTCTAAAAAATTTTGCCGTTTTAATGTACCAGCATTTTACATTAGGTAAGGGTTTCGGGTTAGATCTAATCTCCAAGCAGATGTTATGAGGAAAATTATGGGAAGATAGTGGTAAACGAAAACAAGGCGGCCAAATTGATGCTGTCATGAAAATATGTGGAATTCTTATACTGTCATGAAATTTCATATTTTGGGTAGTTACATGTTTAAAGGTAAAACTTTTGTTCCTACTGAAAAAGGGAAATGTTCTCACCAAGAGATTTCTTCACTCTGGTCTTCCTCAGTAGACTGACCCAGTGAGGTTTGTCACGTGGCTTCTCTGAAGTGTGACGTCAACACTGGGTCAATGTAGAATTCTTATTTGTCATGCAACGATCTTTTCATTCACTAAATTTTCTTCTCCTTTGCATATTTTTCAGATCCCACGGAAAGGTCAGATTCAACAGGCGGCAATCCCCCCGAGAGAGGAGATGGCGTAACGGACCTACCGTCAGTGGCGAAGAGCGCCGACAGGCGGGTTAACTCGGCTTTGCAGCTGAGAACGAACATTGTCACACTCCTACTGACCGCCCTACTGGCCACATTGTTCGGCATGTTGAGACTATAGCAGTGAAGACTGAGAGAGGATTTATCTACAGACTTTTAAGGATGAATGAAAGAAGACTTTAAAATCCACAGTCACCGCAAGGATCAGTGTGCAAGTTGAACAAACTCGAGCGTTGGACAAATTTCACCGAAAAATCATCAGAATTCACCGGCCAAGAATCTGGATATTGCGTCTCGACCACCCCGAACTTCAGACGAAAGCTACTGAGGAAAATATTTTGAACAAGGGTTGAAATTTTCTATGAAAGTTTAGCTGGAAATAGTGAAGACAACAGCAGGATTCTGTTGTGACCTATGTGTGTGTTATTAAGTCCCCGTTTTCTCGATGCGAAGGTTTTGTACCTTGTGAATTGGCAGTTGCAAGAGAAGACGTATTGTCCACCAGCCGTCTCCAAGGCCGTGTAGTGATGGTATTGATTTAACGTCGATATCAGTTTCACAAACACGAAACGGTTGACAGACTGCGAGCGATTCACAACGACAAGACGTCCCGACCAACATGGAGACAATTTGTCAAAGTTTACCGCCTTCTACACAACAAAGGCGAGTCCATAACCCCAAATAGTTTATCATATATCCCTTTATCATTGATTCATGAACACTAGCATTACGATTATCATCATCAGTTAATTCTTAGATCAATTTTTGGAACACAAAAAGAAGTTTGCCTCCTGACTCGATATATGTTTAAAGTTATCTCTTTCTCTAGATAGAAGCAATTTGTGGAAATTGTTTTATTTAATTACTGGTACGACGAAAGAGCTGCTGCTTATATGTAGAAGAGCTTTTCCAATTCATTGAACGTATTTTTGGAAACACAGGGCATAGCTATAGTGCAGTCATACATGATCAAACTTGTGTGTTTTGCAAAGTGTGAATATGCTAATGAAGCCACGTTGATCATCAGAATGTCGTCTATCGGTTTTATGAAAATTACCTACTGACAATCCAATGGAAATTATGACAGCTTCAAGACAAGCGCATTTACTTTTTACCCAGTTCTTTCTCCCTGGCCCTCTTCGATTTTTATATTTCAATTTTTCGACGCTGAAAAAGAAAACAGAGCACTGAAAACATGACAAGACCCCGGCGAATTCGCCTCGTAGATTGACAAAACGAATTATTTTAAGAAAAAAATTACAATTTTGATTGTAAAGATTTACAATTTTATATATACTTGACCCTCCATTTTGTTTTGATATCACAGACGATGCGGCACTATGTAGGGCTGTGATTAAATTCTTTATTATATCTGATGACAGAAAATATTTTCTGGACGCGAGTGTTGAGTGCTGTATCTATCCACGAGATATCAAAAAGTGGCGATCCATTCAAAACATTCCATCTAAGTCATTCCACCAAGTGCAGACTTTACCATTCACCAACCAATCAAACGTTATTTTTGTGCTTTTACGCTACAAAAGCCCGGATGGCCTAAATTGTGCTCTTTTCCCCTGAAATATTTCATAGGCCCCCATATATTTTAGTCAAACAAATCCTCGTAGGAAATATCACACAAATGTTACCCACTAATGATTAGAGTTATAGTGGAGTAGCAAACCATCCCGTGCTATTTTTAGTTGACAGTTACATCGAGCATCAGTTTTTTTTTAATTGCTGGTAGAGAATCATTTGCCGTGCGGTATTTTTTGTTGTACTCAAGAAGAAAAAAATGTGTCTGAAATTGTAGATCGTGTGCGAAGGCGTCGCACAGTAAAGTGCAGTACGTAATGTAAGTAACACATCGTCTGTACACGAGTGATTCTGTAAATATCTGTCCAATTTGTTACGCTGCTGTGTTTTATGTTGTAAGTTGTGTAAAATTGACGAAGATCCTAAGATATAATTCTGCACGTGGGGCCCACCACAGCTCCGCGTGCAACTTGCTTCAAAAGCAATCTTGTACATTTTGTACAGAAGTTCAAATAAAATGTTTTACAGCTTACATTTTCTTATGGTCATTTATTTTACTGGGTGAATTGATAATATGATAAACGTTTAACGTATTTTCAGTGTTAGCGCTACAAATACTTAGGTATACAAAAACGAGTCACTTACCTGTACTACTTGTCAATTCCGCTAGATGGGGCCTGTACACTGCCAAAGTCACACACTAGTTCATAATACGTATATCCATGAGCTACATTTCTCTGACCATGGACTGCCCCCGGAAATTTCCAGTATTCCAGGAGGTTGTATATTGGAAGGAAAATGTCACCTACATGCACAATAAAAAACAAACGAATAGGTAAATTCAAGATGTCATAAAGACCCATTTAATTTTCAGGCCAGAACAAAAGTAGAAACAATTTCAATTTGGTAAATTCAAGGTGTCATAATCACACCTGTGAAATTTATATTCAGGCCAGAAGTTGCAGAACAACTTACCCAAAACAGTAGCCTGTCATTCAACAAAGATGGCGGTTCCATTCTACTCCTGATGACGTCAGATTTAAAGGGACAGTCCACTTCATAGTAGGGGTCAACAGATTTCCATCTTAAGCCATCTACACACACTGCAGCATCTACATGTAACCTGTCACCAACATTTTCCAAGGAAATGGCTTTTACAAGTCTTTAATGGGCAAAAAAAGATTCTTTTACTTCACAGCATATTCAATTCTCTCTCCACATATATGCAAATTTCATGTCAGTAAATGCCATTGGGAGAAGGCACTTGGATATTCTACACATACTAGTACATGCAGTAATTTAGACAACATATCAGACCTAGTACCATGTTAGATAAAATACATACACAGACCATGTAAAATATATACCCTGTACATGTGTGGTTTCACATTTTTGTACACATTTTCATTTTGTATTTGATTTGGTAATGTAAATTCTGCCAATTCATTTACCATGTAAACATTCAGTAATACATGTACATATAAATGTTCAGTGTACATAATTTCATAAATACAGTAAGTGTTTCAACAATTAGCACAAATGCTTAAAAACATTGGACCTGTAGAACAAGCTTTATTGTACATCATAGTCCCATATTTCACAAATCAGACAGACTAAAAATTCATTAGAATATAAACTGAAGTCTATACATTTGCGAGGATCAGGAATTGACTATGTACTTCTTTACGATACAATTTACAGTGTACACTCGTAAACAATATGAATAATGACTTGGACATTCTTTGGTCATTATTTCATTTTACATTTTGTCAGGGATGCAACCATACATTCTTACATATCATACCATATCCAAAATGTTTTCCATAAGTTCTTAAAACCTAAATGATACAAGGAACAACACTCTGAATCAAACACCAAACTACACTCTTCTCTTGGCTCCTCTTTTCCCACCCCTCTTCACTTTACTATCCAGACTTTTCCTTGTTTCCCCTGATTCACTGTCACCCTCACTCTCCTGACCTTCGACCTGACCTTCCTTCCCATTGGACAATGACCTTTTCTGTGAACTCTGACCTTTAGGCACGACCTCTGACACAAACCCCCCACTGGTCTCTAACTCCTCCTCTGAGGAAGTTCCCTCTGACAGATCAGCATTTTGCACTACAGCAGTCTTAGTAGTGCTCTTTGCTGCTTTACCCTTACCCTTACCCTTTCCCCGCCCTTTACCCTTTCCCCGGGCACCCTTCCCAGCAGCCACTGGGCTTCCTCGGGCAGATTTTGACTCCTCTTCTGCGTCTTCTTCTTCTCCCTCCTTCCGGTGGAAATTGTTGACGACCCTCCTGATACGCTTGCTCTTGATTTTCCTCTTCTCTTCTTCCACTTCCATGGGGAAGAACGAAGTGATCTTGCTTTGACTCTGCAAGAAGAAAAAAAAAAACAGTCACACTGACTGACTTTCATTACTGACTGACTTTCATTTCATGTGAGTTGGATATAAGAATTTCCGTGACTTAGCATTTTGTGTCCCACAATAATTCAATGTTCTTAGCAGGCTAGAAAGACACTTCAAAGTAGCCATGTGACAAGCCTCGCTGGGTCAATCTACAGAGGAAGACCAGAGTGACTGGGCGAAAGCTCTAGGTGAGAGAACTGTGTTGGATTGAAAGTTTTAACTTCAAATGTCCTGCCACTTACCCCATCCTCTATCTTCTTGAGTCCCTTCATAACAGGAAGCAGCACTTCATCAGTTTTAGTGGTGGTCCAGCCGAACCTCTGCATGGCAAACTGTCGGAGGGACGGGACGTCTGGCGCCCCCCATGCAAACGGTTCCTTGGACTGATCCACGGTGGGTGAGAGGTATGCCTCCACCACGGTGATGTTGGGAAAGCCCGGTGACAGCTCCAGTTTACGCAGCTTCGCCTTGATCGGAGTCTCCTGTGGGATCTTCTCCTGCTTTTGTGCGTCGTCCCACCATGCCCTGATGGTATAAAAAAGAAAAGAATTTGTAAGAAACCGATAAACAAACAAAGGCAAAAAGGCATAGCCTTTTTGGGGCCGTGGGGGCAGTCGGTTGTTAGTCCACTGTGTCTAGAGCACAGTATTGGAAGGCAGAGCCCATCCCTCTCCTTCCATCGTTCTGCCTCCCCTACCGGTACCCATTTTACACCTGGGTGGAGAGAGGAAAGTCATGTGAAGTGTCTTTCCCAAGGACACAACTTCTAGCCAGGAATGCCAGGAATCGAACCCGCAACCTCTCAATCTTTTTTGCATTCTTGTTTCTTACCTGAAAGCCTGTAAAGCAGCGATGCCCTCCCCTGGGAACTCCTGTAGCACCTCCATGGCCAGCACCTTGCCCACCCCCTGGATCCCCTCCGTGTAGTCGCTTCCAGTCAGCAGGGCAAAGTTTATCAGCCTGGACCGGTCCATTGCTGCAGGAAAGTAGGTAAGTTTTATTGATTTCAAAGAGAAGACTTGAGCAGACAAATATGGGACGGGGTACTTTATATCTCTACTCTACAGAGATGATGGCATTTTTGCAGCTAGGAAACGAGTATAAGAAAGATTAAATCTTTTCCTTACCTAACTGTGAAACAACATCCTTGCAATTGTAAACCTCCATGTCTCGCTGTTGGCTGAAGAAGTTTTTGTAGACCTGCCGTCCTCCAAACAACCAGACATCACTGTCATCGGTGATGGTACCCTCCGTCTGTTTTGATTGGTCGAGGAAGGCGCACTGCGCCTCCGCTTCTGTCGGACTCTGGACATACGGGATCCCAAACAGGCGCAGTAACTCCTTGAAGGAAATCGAAAAATCATTTTTTTATTCACTATTTCTCTGCTGAGCACTCAGTGGTTGTCAGAAAGAGAATGGTATACATCATTAGAACATACACCACTACCAGTGGACTAGCCTCCTGCTGCAGTGTTCTCTGTACTTGCACAATTGTGTGGCCCAGGGGATGAGGAAACAGACATGGGTGCTGTCCTGAGCTCCTATTGGGACTAATTTTCATAGTGATAAAGAACCCTGAGCTCCTAGTGGAAGTTCTGAGAATGGAAATGGGGTTAGAGGTGTATAGCCAAAAGCTTTTGGAAAGGAGGAACAATCAGTCTGACAGTGGGAAATTGTGTAACACAGGCTACGGTGCATATGATGTAGGAAGGAATTAAACTTAAAGCTAAGACTGACCTGGCTCTCTACATACATCTGCTCAGTGATGGAGGCAGCCAGTTTCTCCTGCTTGGCCTGCTGTGCCTGCAGAGTTTTCCTCTCTGTCTGCAGCTCCTGCTCTACCTCTGCCAGGTTACCGGGGTTCAAACCTTCCCATGCAGCGGGCCTAGAACATATGGGGGATGGAACCATCATCATTCCAAGGAAAACTCATCATGGCATTGCATGGCATAATGGTCAGAGCATTTGGTTCGGAACCAAGACTTAGAGGTCCTGTGTTCGATCCCCTGAAATGCCCTGATGTTGTGCCCTTAGGAAAGACACCTCACACAGCTTTCCTCACTTAACTCAGGTGAAAATGAGTACCTACAAATGTAGCTTTGGCTAGGGACATCTCTCGAATAGGACGTTAAATGGAAGTCCCATGTTTGGGCCACACATGTTAAAAAACCCACTACACACATTTTGAAAAAGACTAGGGGCATGCCCAGGTATGCAATGTTCTAAATTCTACAGCTCACTTCAAACCACCAGTGTAGCAGAATCATCAGCAAGTTGATATTGGCTACCTTAACCCCAAAGACATTAGACAATGACAATTTCTTACTGTTCCTGAGTGGGTGACTGAGGCCTGCTGGTACTGGGTGTGGAGGCTTGACTGTTAGCCTGGCTCCCAGACCTACTGCTGCTCAAACTCTCTGCAAACAGTCCTGGGTCTGGGAGGACATCCTTCCTGTCCACACGGTCAACCGCTCTCATGCCCTGATAAACAGCAACAATCCATTATCATCTTCAATCAGGGTTTAAAATATACATGTATGTACATGAAAAATGGATTATACCTTAAGCAGTGTTTGTCTGTATGTCTGCCTGTCACCAAGTTAACTCAAGAATAGCTGGATGGGTTGCTTTCATTTTCCTTTGTATTGCAGTTATACAGTAGTAGAGCTTCCAGTTTCAATATCTTCTGTCCTGAACATGGTATGGTCAATAATCTTAGGTGGTGGATAGCTCTTGTGCTCAGAAAGAAGTGACATAAGTTTGGGCCCTCTGCAGTGGCATTTCTGTAAAGCTCTAAACATTCTATGGAGGTATGCAGTCTCCAGTTCTACATGTGTATATAAATGGTATAAAAAAGAACATTCAAATGCACCATTAAACTAAACCATAGCTGGAAATACTCACCTGTTCAGATATGAGAAGATCGAAGTTTGCCTTCAAAGAAGGAACAGAGTTGGAGTCATCTTTACGAGTTTGTTTCCTCTGAGACTCAGCTGTCTGGAACACACTAGCAGGGAACAGTTCATCCTCAACCCCAGGCTTACTGGGATCCACAGTAACCTCCACAAAATCCTCCTCTTCATCTGAGTCTACAATGTTGATGGTAGCCATAGGTGGCTGCAGTTCTGGTCTAGTAGGCCTTCTGATTTGTCCTGGCTCTGGTAACGTTATAACTGGTATGTCCCTTTTCTGTGGTAATCTGCTATCTGTTGTAATACTGATAGTTTCTGGTGAGTCCTTTTTTCCTGCGTCGCTGAGCTTGTTTGTCGAATCTCCTTTCCTGCTTTGAGATTCAACTGGTTTGTCTGCATTTCTTTCCACTTGCTTCTCAACATCTTCTACAACTCTCTGACTTTCTGGTGCAGTAGAGTGGAGTTTCTTGTCGTGATCATGAGATCTGTCTTGTGATGCTACAGCTCCTTTTTCTTCATGCAATGCCTCTGACACTTCTATAGCATCTGTAGTGCACTTGTCAGTGATGTCTTCCTCGGTCTTTGAGTCTGTCTCAAGCTTTTGCCTTTTTGTATCAGCTTCTGGGAGCTCTGCTTCTTGAAATGTCCTTTTTCCAGAAGGAGAGGCACTTGTTGAGGATTGTTCTCTAGCTGTGACGTTGTCTGTAGTGGAGGAAACATTAGGATCACTGACTGTTCTTACATCCTTCTTCATAGTTTTATTGATATCTAAATCAGCCTTGTGGCTGCCTTGCAAAGAATCTGTAATTTCCTGAGACTTCTTGTCTTCTCTAGACTTCGGTATGTTTTCAGACGGATGCTCCACTCCTCCAGGTGTGACTTCCTCGTCAGAATCCGAGGTTAAATCCACGGGTGCGCCGGTCAGGTCCACCGACACGACCCTGCGTTCATTTCTCCACGGCCCGGGAGCTGCCCTCTCCTCTACAAACATCACATCATCGGTGGAATCAGCGCTCGTTTCCCCACGTCGCTCTTCTAAAACAACCAGATCAGGCTCTCTCATTTGCTGCATTCGGCGATGCCTTTCACAAAGATATGGTATTCCTCTACCCTCCTGTACAATCATAACGTCTGAATCTCGCTGTCTCCTGAAGCGTTCGAAAATACCTTTAGGAATTGGAGGATATTTACAAATCTTCTTCCCTTGCTTCTCCTCTTCTGAACTTGCTCCTTCTTCCTTTCTTTTCTTTATTTCCTGCTCCTTTCTTTCTTGCTCCTTTCTTTTTTCCTCTTCCTTTCTTTCTCTCGCTTCTTTTTCTTCCTTCTCATTCCTTTCTCTTTCTTCCCTATCTTTCCTTTCCCTCTCCTCTCTTTCCTGCTTTCCGACTCCTTTCACCAACAAGTAGTGAGCAGTGTCTTCTGACACCACCCTGCGGGATTCCACCGACGCCCCCTGTTGGAGGTACTGGGTAACTGCACCCGAGGCTTGCAGGTTCATGTCCTTGCGCACTTCGCCCAGCCGCTGAGACAGCTTGCTCCGGGATAGCAGGTTGGACAGCTGCATGTTCGAAAAGCTGTCAGCCTCCTGGGAAAAGATTTTACGACTGCCAATTAGAATTTTGAATCCCAAGGCTTTTCTGAAATCAGATAGAGCAAATGTACACTTATCTGACAGTTAACCAGATTTAATTGACTCCTTTCTTCACTTACTGTTAGACAGTTAATTTAACATGGAGAACCATTTCTCCATTCACAACAAAAATTTTCCTCAGTAAAGGACCCTTACCCACCTCTGGAACATGCCTGGTGAGAGTGAACAAATGTCTCTTCCTCATCTCCTGTAGGTCCACAATGATCTCATGCTGGATGTCAGGAGGGAGGGCCTTGAAGTCCTCAGACTCCACATCTACATTGGTGATGTCTTGGAATTCGGTCTGAAAAAAATTGCCTCAATAAGGGCCCCATACCCAACTCTAAAACATACATGGTGAGAGTGACTAAGTGAATTTATCCATACTTGGCATTCAATAAATTATACCTATGCATGAATTCAGAAGAGTTTACTGAAAATTTGAAAATGATTAAGACTACCTGAACAATCTCTTGTCTAGCCTGTCGTTCCTCCCATAAGTCCACATCTGCCTCCGTACTGTAGAAAACAATATAGCTATAGCATTAGACCCTGTCCCAGCAAAGATATGGAGAGAGATTTATCAATGTCTACGCCTGAAGTTATAAAACAAAAGTCCACAAAATTATCACTGCATATACTGTGTATGGAAGTATTGTAACAGGGGCCTGGGCCTTGTGTGTCTATTTTTCTGGATATAGTAGGCTAACAGCATGTGGGTGGGAGAAGATTGACAGTCAAAATGACAAGTCAAAAGGTTAGAAACAGGAAATGGAGTGAACTTGAGAGTAAGTTGATAGCACTTGTGTGGGGAAGATCTAGATTTACAGGCAGGATGACAGAAGGTCAACAAGTCAAGCACATAGAATGACATGGAATCTTTTGCTACTGTTACTGTCTGTGTCTACTACTAGTAATAATGTTTCGTTTAGCTCTCCCCATATCTACTGGCCAGCAATAATAATTTTTCACTCAGCTCTCCCATACCTGCTTCCCTGTTGTTCTGGCAGTGGAGGTAACTCAAACAAGTCCGGGTCTCCAGGCTTGTTGAGCTGCGGAGTGGGGACAGGTCCTGCCGACCCTGCGGCAGTCTCCCCACGCACGGCCCTGAGTGCCTGCACTTTCAGGTAGTTCTGCAGGACCTTGTTTGCCACCTTCCTGGTCTCCTTCTCTGCTGCTTCCTTCCTCTTCCTACGAGCAGCCTGAAATAGGGAGTTTTATGGCTCAATTAATGCAGCTGAAAATTAGTCTGAGTACCAGACTGTTTCCAGGGCCTACACAGGCTAGCTCCTCAGCTCCAGTGCCAACATGCCCCCAAAGAAATTATACCACAGCCCCTCTCAGTTAGGTCTGGCTAACTCTTGGCGCTAGTGTGCTATGGATCTGGCATCCAGGCTAGTAGAAAATAAGTCAGTGTATTATTCAACAGAAAAGACCTACTAGCTGGTGTGTTACACCAATGTCTGGTAACACAAACTATACTGTATACAGATATGGACCAAAAGAAAAAAGATTATTTCAAGCAGTTGCTGAAATTTACATGAGCTTTTACCATTCAACGAATTCAGGAATGGGACATCAACACAATATTGTACATAATGTTTTCTTTTTACAACAACTTACGAGAGTCTTCCTCTTGAGTTCTGGCATGCGTCCGTCGAAGACAAAGACCGGTTTGATCCGGTAGAAGAGCAGCTTGCAGATCCGGTTGAAGAGGACCTTGAGGTGTGGGTTCTGGTTCCCGCCTCGAGGATTCCAGCTGCCCAGAACTGCCTGGTTCAACCAGATACTCACATCTGGGGAGGGTTAAGGACAAATCGAAACAAGAATTCGGAGATCTCATACCTCCATGAAATATAAAATGTTTTCTTGGATTTTTGTCATTGATTGTGGAGATAAGGTTGTAATTAGCACAATCTATTTCGATTTATGGTTTTCGCAACTCAAATTGCATACATTTTGTATGTGAAAGTCCATCATCATTTGGCAAGGTTTACTTTACATAAGAGGACACAGAAGTTGACAGAGTTGGCATAGAGGCTGCAGAAACACACAAGGAAACATGACTCGACTGTTAACATAGGAGTCTTGTGATTGATGATAGTTGAAATCTGACCTTAAACTCCTCCATTAGATTTTGAAAATCTATCCAGTTGCTTGATGAGTGATTCTAAGCAGCAGTTCAGTATCTTATTATCTAGATGTGTAATCATAATATTCAACAACATATCCTGTATATGAGTCTACACCTGATTGACAGGTGCCTGTCCACATGAAGGATACCGACAGCGAGGACCTTCCCCTCCAGACTGTCCATCCTTACAGGACGTCCTGTCGGCTCCAGCAGCTTCCACAGGTCATGAACTCCCATCCTGCACTGCGCTTCCAAGCAGGCCTTGCCTGAGAAATGAACAGGAATATGTCAATACCAAGATGGTCGATGAAGGTTAGACATCCGGGTAATGAGATATGCAAAGAATTGTGCTATGTTAATGGGGTCATGTGGCGCAGTGGTAGTGTGTTCGGCTTGGTAAGAGGTCCCAGGTTCTAACCCGAACCCTGTCACCGATCTTGAGCACTTGGGAAAGGCACTTTACACGGCTTTCCTCACTTTACTCAGGTGAAAATGAGCATACCAGAATGATCATTATCATGATCGTGGGCATTAAAAAGAAAACCAAACCAAAATCAAATGGGGCTCCCGGGAATCAAACTCGGGTGCATTTAAGCTTGGGACTCCAATGCCAGAGGCCAAAAGGTCCACGGACCAGGATCCATTGCATAGAGCCAGACAAGCAATTTGGTAGCACAAAGTTGGACAGTTTGTTACCTTGTTCCTACACTAGTGTGGAGCTTAAACGCAGCTTCAATACCAACTTCCTTCCAAATTCTTGGAAGCCATGTGACTGTCCACACACATGCATGCACATGTAACTGTTATGCAAGGCCATGTATGAGATAGCAAATCAAGACGTTGTCATATAAATTCTACTCTTCTATGCCAATGTGAAATCACTGTGATTTTCTAACGTCTCTGTGTCTACAAAAACATAACCATACATAAATTTATGTAACAAGAAAGACAGCTTCAACAGCCCCCCTCCCCCCTTTGTACTCCACTTACCTGTGACAGTTCAGCTGTTTTAAGCCTCCTCAAAAATTCCCAGTGGCTGAAAACTGTAGACAAAACTTAGGAAAACCTTTCTCTTTAAATTTTTGTTATTTGCTCACCAATTTTACGCCTAAAAATCATAAATTTGACGACCTGCAGTTTTGCATGTTTTTTTTCAGCGATGTAGGTTAAGGAGTACAGAGGTCATGGCGCAGGCGCAATGATCACACAGGCAGCGTGCGTAGAAGCAAGATGGCGGAACTCACAGGTAAAGTTTCACAAAATTTTAACAACTTTAACGATTAAAACTTGCTTCCTTACTGATCTATTGATGCATTTTCCTTTTGCATGTAGTTCAGATGAGTAGGAGTCATATATTTGTCCAACGAAAGTTTTGAAAAAGCCGTAAATTCGTGTTTTTCGTGACCATGTGCGGAGCTACATGTCCACGTGCTCCCCTCCCAACATTTGGGTAATATTTGCAGGTCGCAGGCTTTGATTTTAGACGCTCAATTCGCTGCCAATATTGTTTTTATGTTCCTAGATATCCCATCGTACCGAAGCTACCCACATTTCGTTTAAACTAGCCATGCAACTGGATTAAAGCAAACTATTTTTAACAGAAGTAGTTCTTCCACATGCACAGAAAAGTTTATCCTGGAATTGGGGGGGGGGAGGGTAGCCGTATAAATTTTTATATAGTAGTACAGGTACTTGCCACAGCTGTTTGAAAACTTACGAAACTACTTCTAGAAACAGCCAGTTTCTTCTAGTATCATGTCCCCAACCTGTCCATATATTTACTTGTGTATAAACAGCGCATTTGTTGCTTTGTTGTGTAAATTACCACCAATTAAATGCCAGAAGTATCTGATGGCATCCCATTGTTCTCTGGTCAGTCTGAAAATGGAACAGTCCAAGGAAACTGATCGGGTAACATGTCACAATTTCTTACCCACAGGATCTGCCAAGAAATCTAAGAAGGAGAAGAAAAGGAAGTCTTCAGATGGTGCAGTGGATATTGGGGTGAGTAAAAATAAATAAAACATAGTGAGTGTTTGAGTGATAACACTAACAGTCAAAACTTCCCACTCCGATAGAATCTGGAATATCAGGATGTTCAGGATTGATTCTTAATGCTTGCTTCAGGAGAAAAAAATCATTGAAGGCTTCAAATGAAAATGCAGCAGGGTCCCTTACTCATACTCTCCAAGCAGAGGTTTGGGTTTTGGGGGTATTTTTAGCGTGTTTTTAGGCTTTTTTTATCGAGGTTTCTCTTTTGCACTGGTGGGAAAAAAAATTCAGTGCAAAAGAGAAACCCCGATAAAAAAGCCTAAAAACACGCTAAAAATACCCCCAAAACCCAAACCTCTGCTTGGAGAGTACCTTACTCAATGCATCTCTTGTTCCCACCTACAGGAGGCCCAGACCAGCGATGACTTTGTTATCCAGCCTGACTCCAAACCTACAAAACTCAACACAGCAGACTGGCCACTGCTCCTCAAGGTACAGTCAAGTATTAGTAATACAAATGTATCAGTTTATATATTTAGGACATGTTACATAAACCTGGCTAGACATCCATGTAATGAGATACACAGGGAAATTGCTCAATCATTAAAGAAGTTTTGTTGATTAAAATGATTGTAAAAAGTTACTGTAGTTATCACAATAAAACAATGGATCTGAAGACAAACTGATACCTGGAGGCTTAGAATATGCATTGATCAGCTCTTTTGTAATGAATACAGAATTGGTGCCAAATGGCTACTTAGAATTAGATGGCTGAAAGTTAAACAGTGTGCACTGTGTATAATGACATGGTTTTAATGTTAAAAATGACTGAATATTTTGTTTTTTGTTATTCCCAGAACTATGACAAGTTGAATGTGAGGACAGGACACTACACTCCCATCCCCAGTGGATGTTCTCCACTCAAGAGGCCTATTGATGACTATGTCAGGTTTGTCGATTTTCCCTCATCACATTCCACAAGATTTTTGTCAATTTCGTCCGTCAAAGTTGACAGATCAGATTGTAAATTTTTTGCATTACATGCTGCAAAGTTCCTGCATTTGACAGAAAAAATGGGTGCTGGCTAGTACAGTATGTCAAAATATAGTTCAATCAGGTTGATAGAACATAGGCATGTGGATTTTTTTCCTTTCAACCAGAACTTTTCTCACCTTGCTTATGTTTCAATGTCTATCAGACACCTTTCTCAGAGCTTCTGACTGGAGTGCTGCTTCTCGCTGCTATAACCTACTCTCCAAGCAGAGGTTGTGGGGAATGATCATTACATTTTTATATATGGCCGTTTTTTGTTGTCCTGATCCCCACTGTCGGTGGCCGTGGAGCTTCTCTGGCTAATGGATACTGCCTGGCCAATTTGATACTGTCTTTTTGCCACCGAGAGGGATCTGCTTGGAGATTAGCTATAACCTACATTGGCTTTATAGTAAACTGTTAGGTATGGCTTATGGTTTTAACATTTTTCTCCCACAGGAGTGGTTTCATTAACCTGGACAAACCGGCCAACCCCTCCTCCCACGAGGTGGTGGCCTGGATCAGGCGAATTCTCCGGGTCGATAAGACCGGGCATAGCGGAACCCTCGACCCCAAGGTCACGGGTTGTCTCATCGTGTGTGTGGAGAGGGCAACCAGGCTGGTCAAGTCTCAGCAGGGGGCAGGTAAGGTCAGGGGGTAAAGGGCAGGGCAGGTTAAGGGTTACAGGGCAGGGCAGGTTAGGGGTTAGAGGACAGGTGGATCAGGGGTTAAAGGGCATGTAGGTTTAAAAGTAGTTACAGATTAGTTGAATTTGTGCATAACTTAAAATACATTTTTGTTATGAAATAATCATAACAGTAGGAATAATTATATGAGAGACAAATTTTCATAGAATTGATAGATTTTACTTTCATTCTTTACTTGTTACATGCTCTTTTACTTAAATAAATATGTAATGTATTATACATTTGTATACATGTACCATGTAGTTTTTAACAGTGTTGCTTGTATATAATGTAAATACATGTAGTAAAAACTTGGCATATCTCAGCCCTTTCTGTGAAAGGTGCGTACAGTAACATGTGAACCGGCCTGTGGTCTCTGGTCGTGGTGTGTTGACCTGTGACCTGGCTGTGTTGTACAGGGAAGGAGTACGTGTGTGTAGTGAGGCTGCACAGTGCCATAGAGGGGCAGGACCAGTTGGCACGGGTAAGGCTCGCTGGGATTACACTTGTTGTACCCTTAGTTGTCAATCTATGGGTGATTACTATTTGAGTTCTAAACATGTAACCAATCAATGTGATGCCATTCCATGGTTGTGCAGTAGAAAGTACTAGTAGATGTAGATGAAGAAAATTGTCTTGATGAAAATTGCTGAGATGTAGAAATTTGTCTTCAGTACAGTAATACTTCTCACCACTAGGTGCTGTGTTAGCAAAAAGAATGTGGTCCCAAATTTGTAAGCCTGTTTCCCCCTCAACCATTTCCTTTAGACTGTGTATACAGAACTCTGATACCTAATGTTTAAAAAGGAGCGGAATTTGTTGTGGTCAGCATATCATACTCTGTTACTCCTAGTTCTGTGATTACACCATGTTTGATGGAACCTTTACGAAAGCTCTCTATGTATCCTGGCTTAATTTACATTAGTAAGGTTTGAAATTTAAACTTTAGATACATGTACTACAAAATGTCATGTCTTCCCCCAGACCATCGAGCACCTGACAGGAGCCCTGTTCCAGCGCCCTCCCCTGATCTCTGCCGTGAAGAGACAGCTCAGAATCAGAACCATCTACGAGAGTAAACTCATCCAGTATGATCCGGAGTCCAGACTTGGTGAGTGGCACGCCGGGTTTTTGTTTTAAACGGATATTGAAATAGGTTGTTAGCAACATTTGTCCAAAAGATCTAGTTATAAAAATGTTTGAAAAGTCAGTTTGGACTCGGCTGTTTCACAATTGAGTGAACCAAAAGGCTGTCACTTGGAGTGAAAAATCAACTTTCATATACTTCAAAATTTATGTTGGCAATTCAAAGGTACATACTTTGGGCTTCATATCCTAAAATATCTCTGCACAACACTTCTCGGTCACTGTGATACAGGTCTTTTACATAATGGGTCATTAAGGGGGTACGGACGGGACAACTGCAAGACTGTATGTTAAGTTACATAGAATATACCCAAATAAAGAACAAAAGATAAACACTATTCCATATTATGTTCCATTACTAGTATCCACAACACCAAAAAACTGACTTTGATTTGCAGTAACACCTTGCTGTGTCATTTTCTGGTCATTTATTATATTGCGAGGAAAACAACTTGCTGCCATTTCATGTTCAAGGAAAGGTCAAATACCAAATTTTCAAGTTCAGGCAATTTGGAAGCTTAACTCTGTTATTATTTCATTCTGTATATATTTCTACAAAAGGTTCTAGCTTATATATCTTGGAAACACATCAATGGACTTTTCAATGATCATTTTTATGATTGTATGTGGGGGTACGGACGGGACACAATGGGTCAGAAGACTGATACTGCAGGGACTTGTCCAAACCTTGTGGAACACATTTATTCACTAATACCAGTGAAATGAAGTATCTACAAACACTGTAATAGTGTCTAGACTAAGGAAAAGGGAGCTGGACATTCTAATTAGAATTTTCTGTATATTATAGTATGAACAGAAACTTTTTCTGGCTTATATAATTTAGGGCTTTCCTTAAAAAAATCAGCTGATGGTAGGTATTAATATAAGGATCCTAATTACTAATATTGCTAAAAAGGCTTTGGGAACATTAGTAACAGCATTAATAACATAACATAACATATCAGAACCTGTACATTTATATATTTGAGTGTGCTCAAAGAAAAGAATGGGGGGGGGCGCTGCAGGATTTGTAGTCTAAATTCAGAGTTATTGGCAACCCTCCTCCCTTGAAGGAATCTTAATTTCTAGCACAGATACAAAATGTACATGAACTGGTATGTTTCCTTTTACACCTTGGCTTGTTAATACATTTTTCAGAGAACCAGAACAGTTCTCTAAAGTTGGTTCACATGCACGTGAGTCCGGAGTAGACAATGTCCACAAGAGCCTCCTCCGGGTAAAAGCAAATGTTGATGAATTCATTAAAAACTACTAATTTTAGTAAGGAGGACAAATGTTTGTATCTTTTAAGGTTTTACTATGTGTATTTCAAGCAATTGGAATGCCATTTTCCACAGTACTTGGCTAAAAACTAAAAGTGGGGGTACGGACGGGACAGGTGGGGGGTACGGACGGGACAGGGGTACGGACGGGACATTTGGGGGTTTGTTGTGCTATATCAGGCAAAGTCTTTATCACAGAAATGGTTTATATGGTGGTTTGGTATATGCCAATAGAGACTTATAAGCCATCACAATTAGAAGCTTATAGTATTTACTTAATGTAGAAATCAAGAGGGGGGACGGACGGGACAAAATTTTTCGGAAAATGGCAGCCTGTACTTCAATCCTTAGCTGTGAGTCAGATGAAAGTAGGAATGATCTCATTCAATTTTTTTTCTCTTACATACATCATATTAAACCTTTACATGTCAAACTAGCACTTATAACAGCATAATTAAAAAATGCTACAGACCTTGCAATCTTTAAGTAAATATTTCACTAAAATTGGTAACATGGGGGTAAAAGTGAAAAATAACCTTCCCGGCAAAAAAAAAGGTGGTGTATCTTCAAAAATTGGTAACAAATCTCTAGTAAACATATGCCTGCTTGTACAAAATAAGAAATCTTAAGCTAGCAACCATATTTGTGATGTCTGCAGCAATGGTAAGAATGTGAAAAAACTGAATGACGGCTGGTAACACTGAAAATGGGGCATTTTTAAGTAAGATATTTGTCGATAGTTTCGCCAAATGTTGACCGAGTTCCCTACTTTTTTTATTGTAATGTTCCTTGTCACACCAGCTTTTGGGAAATATAAGTCTGAAACATCAATATATCATGTAGACTTTGTTATCAACTGGTAACATGTGGAAAAGTAAATGGGTACACTCAACTGTGAAACAGCCGACTGTTTAGACTTGTCATAGTGATAAAAAAATCCTGAACTGCTATATTCAAATGTGAATGGTTCTCTGAAGTTAGAGGTGTATGGCCACAACAAGCTCTTGAGGAGGAGGCCCAGTCATCCTCTGACAGCACAGACTAGTTTGCTCCTTTTCTATGTAAAGAGGTATTTGAGACATATTCAATGCTTGATTCTGCTAATACTAGATATTTTAGAATACACCTTAGTTACTGCTCCCGTGACTATTGATTGACAATTCAATGTTCCCTGTACTGTAGGTGTATTCTGGGTGAGCTGTGAGGCAGGGACGTACATCCGTACCCTGTGTGTGCACGTGGGACTACTCCTGTACTATATGTGACTGTTGAATGACATGTTAAACTTTAATGTGTGCCCTGTACTGTAGGTGTATTCTGGGTGAGCTGTGAGGCTGGGACGTACATCCGTACATTGTGTGTGCACGTGGGACTGCTACTGGGGGTGGGGGGGCAGATGCAGGAGCTACGCAGGGTCCGATCTGGTATCATGTCTGAAAAGGTTAGAAAACACTTTTGCTCGTTCTTCATTCATTGTGTCATGAATGTATGTATGTATGTAGTACAGTTTTGCAGTCAGGGCTGGAAATACCTGGTTAGTGCAGGTAATATTGGAGCTATGCAGGTATTTCTGATGTTAACCTGCACCAAATCTGCCCCAGTCTGTACACTCAGTTCATATACATGTACAGTGAAATGGATATCTATTTGATGCATATCACCTATGAAGTTTCTGAACAGTTTTTAGTATAATCCATACTTCCTAAATTCTCATTGGTGCAGGTGGAACTTGTCTGGTGCAGGTAATTTTCTATGCACTTGTACAGGCATGTGGTAAAAAGTATTTCGAGCTCTAGATTGACACTTTGTTTTTACCCCCTGCTCCCCAGGAGGGTCTGGTGACCATGCATGACGTGCTGGACGCCCAGTGGATGCACGACAACCAGAAGGACGAGTCTTACCTCCGCAGGGTCATCCGTCCGCTAGAGGCTCTCCTCACATCGCACAAGAGGATCGTGCTCAAGGACAGCGCTGTAAGTCATTTGTTTTATCATGAGGCAGACAGAAACAAGCTTTACCACAATGAGTTTTGTGCATTAGGTACACGCAGCATAGGGCAGGGCTATAGATCAACAGTTTACACACATGTATTTGTTTGTTGTACTTTTCTAGCCAGCCTGAAACTTTTTTCCATCATCGTAATTTTGTTTGAGGTCATATCAATTTGAGTGCCGACAGTGCAACCATTCTAGGGGCATGCTCCCCCAGGAAAATTAAAAATCATGACCCCCTGAAATGCTATTTTCTGCATTATGAGGTTGAAAGTAACAAGGGTTTTGTACAGTAGGTACAAGCTGAGTAAGGCCGCACTGTAAAGTCTGGTCCACTCAAGCTGGGATGGACTCCTACTCTTTTCAATAAGTGTGGTGGGATTTTTTATGTAGTTGAGGTGTGAGTGGTCTCAAACATAGGACCTCCACTTTACATCACATCAGGGAGGACGTCCCTAACTGAAGCTAGGTACTCATTTACACACAAGTAATGTGAGGAAATAGGTGTTAAAAGCCTTTCCCAAGGAGACAACACTGGGGATTCGAACCCAGAACCATCAGATTCTGAGTCAACAACCCTCACTACAAGACTACCTTGCCACAGGGGTTGTCTGGGATTATAACATTGACTCCTTTTGTGCTTGTCCCTGGTCCAGGTTAACGCGGTGTGTTACGGAGCCAAGATCATGCTGCCAGGAGTCCTGAGGTTCGAGGACGGCATCGAACAGAATGAAGAGATTGTCGTCATGACAACAAAAGGAGAAGCCGTCTGTCTAGGTCAGTATCCAACGTTTACATAGTTTTGTTTTCAGTGCTGGATTGGAGTGCTAGATATTATCATTGTCTTGGTTTTTGGTGGTATTTGTTTGTTTGTGGGCTGCGTAACTCAAAATATTTTGTTACGTGATTATTTTGATCCTCCAGAACTGCAATTTTCTGTATCCTTTGATCCAAAATGACATTGTCATAAGTTCATCTCTTGTGTTTTTTCCGTGTAAAGGGTGTTAATTCTTTCATTTCTTTTTCTTTCCTCAGGAATCGCCCTAATGACGACTGCTACCATGGCCACCTGTGACCACGGGATTGTGGCTAAGATCAAGAGAGTCATCATGGAGAGAGACACGTACCCTCGCAAGTGGGGGCTGGGACCAAAGGTCAGCCCACATTAGGCCACACCGATTTAATTTTATGGATGACATCCTCTGAAGACCCCCAAACTAGTGCGCGCGGGCGAATTAAAAAAAAATTCCGGCCGAAAATAAAAATGCTACTAAACCACAGGAATACAAAGCTGGTATTATGAATTCCCGACAGTACTTAGAGACGTATACGACAAGCCGGCACATGCTGGCTTTTTGCGGCATTTATGAATCGGTACCATACTGAGTTCTTGAGTCGTAGTGCTTGGAATTCGATAGCCTGGGTGCTCAGCTCCGTTTTGTTGCTGACTAGTATGGACTACCCAGGCCTAGAGCCTCGGTGGAGGTGATCTTTTTTTTTTTTTGAGGGCGACAGGCGAAAATCAATGCGCGTGCGGATGTCATCCATAAAATTAAGTCGGTGTGGCCTTACTGTAAATTTGTGAACTTTTACAGTGGTTTTACTCAGTGGTATGAAAGATAAAAAGGCTTTCCCAGTGTTTGAAATTTGCAGTTAAAATGATACGTTTTAGTACAGTATGGATACATTAAAAATGCATGTTCGTGGTGTGATAAATTTGCGGTGGAAAGATTTGTTTTATTATTTGCAGAATTATTTGCAATTTTCTATTTTTCAGTACAAACATTGTTCTGAATTGTCGTCTATGTGGAAGAGTTCGATATTTTTCTCAAAACAAGTATATTTTAGAATTCAAAGATAATGCATGAAATTGGTGTAGTTAATCATGGACATATTTGTTCCTTTCCAGGCAAGTCTGAAGAAGAAGCTTATTAAGGAAGGTCTGCTGGACAAGTTTGGCAAGTCTAACGAGAAGACGCCGCAAGACTGGAAGACATCTTATGTAGACTACAAGTATGTGTCTTATTCTTACACATCTGTGTAGTATATCTCAACTCTTTCCCAAGATCTAAAGGTAGCCAGGCAGTTTTATTAGATATTTTCAGAGAAAAAATCCTGTCATTTTTAATCTTTAGCACACTGAAGTAGCTGTTTTGTTACTGATAATCTATTAGTTATGTTCTACATGATTGATGGAAAGTAGCTACTTTGTCTTTGATTACTATTTTCATACTTTTGCAATACATTAAGATTTTCTGCAATACATTAAGATTTTCTATGTTGGAAAAAATAAATAGAGAAGAAAATAGGCTAGTTAAAGTTTTGTCCTCTCTTTTCGTATGTTTAGCAGTATAAGATTTCTTTCTTCCATCATTGAAACATTTTGTTTTTTCCTGTGCAGTGTTGCCAAGGGCAACAACGGTTCAACGGCACCGCAGGCACAGGTCACGCCTGGGAAGTCAACACAGGCAGATGGAGCAGGGGCAAAGGTCAGGGGTCATTCTGTACCTCACCTCCTGATTGGGTGGTAGTTGACCAATCAGAGAGCAGCAACAGTACCTTTTAAAAGGCACTTGCCAAACTTTGTGAGACAGAACATTTTGTTAAAGAACCCAACACACATTAAGAAGAGTAGTGGTAACTTGGTATGCCTAATGGCTAAAATGTAAGCTCAATGGTGCAGCTCATTCCACTATCAGCTATCCAAAAAGCATGTCTCTTTTTCTCAAGCATTTTGTATCAAGTCCGGCCTGTTTTATCTTTTCCTTTTTCTCCATGTGTGTTGTATATTTGTTTGTTGTATCCACAGAGGAAGAGACTAGAAAGTAGCTGTGAAGACTGTGTGTTGTCTATTTCTAAATGTTTGTTATATCTAGACTACACAATAGCAGTGAAGACTGTTTTGTATATGTCTAAATGTTTGTTGTCAACATATATCTACAGAGGAAGAGACTAGAGAGTAGCAGCAGTGACTCCTCAGAACCAGCGTCCCCGGCTCCCCCCACTCCTGTGGTGCAGCAGCCAGCAGTGACGGAGACTCCCACATCCAGTAAGAAGGAGAAGAAGAAGAAGAAAAAGAAGCAGAAAGCCGAGGAAACAGACCCTGAGGTCAGCTACTTTTGAATCTATTGCTGTAATAAGGAATTTGTTTCCAGTCACATAAGTTGATTGTGTGCGTGTTTGTGTTGACAGGCGTTATGTGCGTCAATTTGCATTTCGTAATACTGTAAGGGTTAATACTACAATCTGAAAACAAGTGTTTAGTTTTGAAATATATAAAAAGAAGTGATTGCTCTGTTGCCATTTCTTCATTTGTTCTTAACAAATGGTATTGCTTTGTTATGGATGGACCATTGTTCTTACACATTTTAATCTCTGATGTTATATATTTCAGACCCCCAAGTCAGAGAAAAAGAAGAAGAAAAAGAAGGAAAAGAAAAAGAAGAAAGAAGAGGGTTCAGATGATTCAGATTAAGTTATGGGTCCATAGTATTGTGATACAAACACACTGAAGCCTCCTTACTTTCCTTACCTTGTTTTTGTAGCAGAGCAAAATACATGTACATGTATTATTAGATTTCATAAACTTTCATACTGCCAAATGTCCTCTGGCACTTTGTAAAGATGTGATGTAAGTCAAGTGATGCTATCATTTATTGCCAAAACATTAACTGAGAATGATTGCAACATAATGTATTTGATGCAACCGAATTCTGGATGAAATACAGTATATGGAATTTGTACTGAACAAAAACAGTTCTACTAATAGGCCTATGTACTAATATTGTCCTATCATAGTTCTCATTGAATTTTGGATACTTTTGATTTTCTAGTATACGTATACCGGACCAATTATACAAGTCATGTATGTAATTTCACACTCTGGTGGTAATTCAATTGCATTAGAACAAATGACTTTGTTAGTACTTGAAATGTATATCAAGTTTTGAGTTGGGAAGGCCTTAAATGAGCTGAGAAGGCATTAACTTTTAGTATTTTCTTTTTTGCCTAAGGTACAATCAAGGATTGTAGTTTGATGGGGATGAAAATTAGAAAGAATTCTGCTCCAAAAACGCATGAGAATTAATTTTGTGACTGATTGGCCTTCCCCATATAAAACAAATCATGTGAGAGAATGCAAATGACAAGTATGTATAGCTTTGTTAAGGAAGGATACCTCAGACTTGATGTAAGCTAGGTCGTGGTTTCTTTGTGATACTGGAATGATCTACAATGCATAATCTTTGTACAGTTTTGTCTCTTCCTTTTATCACAACATTTTATATAAAAATGTTTAGTTGATGTATTTGACAAAAAAGAGGCAGTGCTTGTTAAGATCAGATTGCAGGTAATCCAGTGCAAAGAAAAAGAAGTATTGTACAGAGTAATGAAGTAAGTACATGTTGTTATCTTTAGTATAAGTCACTTTTCTTGTCCTGGTTTTCTAAGCTAACTATAACAGGCTGCTGTTATCAGTAATCTTTGTTCATTTTTTCTTCAATTAAAAGTTATATAAGATAGCCATCTTTTTCTTTTCCAACATGACTGGACTGTAACGTTGATTTGTAAGATACTTTCCAGAAGAGTTGGAAAATAAACTGTTAAAAGTTTCTGAATTTTCTATTTGCATTATTGGTAACTACTGGTAGGTATTTTACGATTTGTTAAATCCATAATTGTAGTCTTAATTATGTGTGAACAGTTGTGGTGTCTGGATCTTATTACCTTTAACGTCTTAATGTATATACTAATAGTCAAATTTACTTAAAAATTACATTTCCAAAAGGCAAAGCATTGATTTTTCAGTTAGGCCACACCAATTTAATTTTATGGATGACATCCTCTGAAGACCCCCAAACTAGTGCGCGCGGGCGAAAAAAATAAAAATCCGGCCAAAAATAAAAATGCTACAAAACCACAAAACCACAAATACAAACCTGGTATTGTGAATTTGGCGCATTACATAGCGACGTATACGACAGGCCGACACATGCTGGATTTTTGCGGAATATATGAATCGACACTGCTGTACGTAAGTACTGAGTTCTTGAGTCTTGGAGCTTCGGTAGCCTGGCTGCCGTCAACCAGAGTTATCACCACCAAGCACTACCCAGGCCTAAAGCCAGGCCAGAGCCTGGGAATATGTGATTTTTTTTTTTTTTTTTTTGAGATCGGGCGAAAATCAATGCGCGCGCGGATGTCATCCATAAAATTAAATCGGTGTGGCCTTACATCTTTTTTTCATTTGTTAAACCTTCATGACCACATAGACTTCATAATGAAGGAAACTTTTTTTGCCAAACGTTTTTTTTTTACTCGCACGATTGCGTCAGTTTTGGTGTTCCCAGAGGAAGTCTGATCAAAATCTGATCATTTAGAGGTCTCATGAAGCCACCTGCCAAATATCAAGACAATCCATCTTAGCCTTCGCATGTTAACGTGTTGACAAACACAGACACACGAACACCTACCAAAACATAACCTTCTTGGCGAAGGTAACTAACGCTGGATCGCACAGAGCTTAAACGGAAGTGGCTTCAAGGTTATTCCAAGGACGCCGTCAGTGTTTGGAGGAGGAGCGCCCTCTGGCAGCTTGAAAGTGAAGGACTGCAGCAGGGTCGAGAAGAACAGGAACAGTTCCATCTTGGCCAGCTGCTCCCCAAGGCACACACGTCGGCCTGGAAATATACAATTCCGAGTAGAAAGACCAGCCAACCGCCGAACAGAAGTAGTTTAATCAGTAGTATGTTTACCGAAGGAAAGCATATTGTTTCGCTCTGTTTCCTCTTCTTCTCCAAACCAATAAGGTCATTGACCTGAACCAGGCGTCTGTCACCATGGTAACTAGTGTTGGGTTACACCATGTTGCAATTTTATAGCAGGAAGGATTTAGCTAGACTATGTGTATGGGTAAGAATTAACAGAGTAGACCATGTGCGAAACATTATACATTTGCTTAGCATATTAATGTTGCCTTTCCAGTTGTATGATTTAAGAAATTTCTCGGACCTTACCTCCCCCAAAAGGTAAGAAAGAGTCGGGCTTGTTGATGACGTTTCCTTCCGCATCCAGAAACCTTTCCGGGTCGAACCGTTCCGGATCAGGCCAGTAAGCGGAGTCCATGTGGACGGACTGCATGTTCAGTAGAATCTGGATCAAAGAGGAATCAGGAAGTCAAGAAACAGATCATCTTTTTTTCTATAATGTAAACAATAGCCTGGGTTGTAACACTCCTGGCTAATCGTTGGTTTACAGTAACTGTAAGGTTCTAGATACATGTAGAAGTCCTGATTATATATCTGAGTTGGGGTTTGTAAATTTTGATTCCTTGTGATTTTTACTTTTGCAACAAATAAACATTTCCTTTTGCTCTGTTTCTTCTTCTTCTCCAAACAGTCAATGACCTGGACCAGATGGCTGTCACCATATAACTGGTGCTGTAGCAGACACGCTGTGATATTGGGTTTACATTATGTAGCAGGACAGAGTTGGAGGGGCTGGTCACCAAACACTGTACTGTACGAATATACAGAGCAGTGAGTTTTTGGACTAGACGTGAAGGTAAACATTGCAAATGCTACCTTTCTAGTTTCTAAATTGTTTTTGGAACATTTCAAAGGAATAATATTACAATCTCAAAGGTATGTTTAAACCTTTGTCCTGCTGACATTCCTGGCACAATATTTTTCAATAATTTCATGTCTTAATTAGATCATAAACCCTCATTTTTTTTTTGCCCCGCAGTGGCATAGTTACTTCCGCATTCATTGCGTTTCGCTGCAGTGTGATGCGTTGCACGAGAAACACCCCCAAATCGTGCCTATACAGGGTGCTATATAGATGATACTGTATGTGTCAAGCGACATATGTTGCGCACAGCAGGACAAGGGTTAATACCTTGGTCCCTTCTGGAATGTCAAATTCCTGGACTTTGACGTCCTGCGAGGTGGCGTGGGGAACTGACAGGGGGAGAAGAGTGCGGATTCTCATGGTCTCCAGCAGACAGGCGTTCACGTAGGGCAGCTGGGGACGGTGGGACAGGGTGGGCTGACCATCACCAACAACGGCATCAAGCTCCTGCTGCGCCTATGCTTGGACAAACTTGGCTGTTGAACTTTATGACTAAAAGTAGTCGTGAAGTCGGGAGGTTAAAAGTGTTAGATGTGCACAGTCAAAGCGCTTACCAGGCCTGCAGAGAAGTGTTGTATTGTGTACATGTTGACTGTTGTGAATAACATTGAGGCCAAGATATTCAGTAAATAAAACCCTTGGAGCTTTGCGAATCCGGATCAACCCCCTGCCTTTACGAATCACGATTCGAGAAACCTGGTGTGAACCGGTATGTGACTACTTAGTCCTCACTTCTTGTGTAAGCACAAAGGAATTAGCCTCTACCAGGCTTGCGGAGGCGGTTGGAAAGAGTAGAAGTCGACCAAATAGACTCGGAGATAACATGCCAAGGGAGTTGGTCCATTGAGAGAACATTTCGCCGCGTAGAGGCTACCAAGAAATACCGTTTTGTAGATTATCCCAAAGCAGAACCAAGATTAAGGTGGTTAAAACTACGTACCAGAGCTACATTGGCAATAAGTACCTTCTTCTGGATGCCGGGGTTCGAAGTCATGTAGATGAGACTCCACAGCAGTGTGTTGGTGGTTGTCTCAGTTCCTGCCAGGAACATGTCCAGGGCGGTGTACATGACGATCTCCTCTGTCAGACCCTCCACCCTCTCCTGCTTCTCAACCTCATAAAACAACAACAAAACAACTTACGACCAACCATGGCAAGATCTAACCTCAGGCAATTCACCATCTGGTTTATAGAGGTCCGCCAATATGGAACAGCTTGAAAGCCTTTCTATGAGAACATGTCCCTTCTTACCCAGTTTTAAAAAAAACTTCTTTTTTTAAATAGAGATATCATACTTCAACCAACTACCATTTCCTGATTCTGTTTGCTTTCCTTGTTTTGTTGTCGATTTGACAATTTACCCATATAAATTTGGTTCATTTTATTAATAATGGTACTTAATCTTTAATCTTGTAGTGTCGGAGAGGGCCAAAGATAAACCACCAGGTTTCCGGCCCTCCCATGCATGTCTATTTATTTTTCACTTTTATTTTATTTGAACGTGCAAAACAATAAATGAACAATGATAAACAAACCTCCAGCAGGAAGTAGTCGAGGAAGTCTCGCGGGTTCTCGCGATCCAGGTTCTCGCGATGGCGGGCGATCTCGTCCCAGATCACTCCCTGGATCTTTTCGTTCAGACCCATCGCTCTGTTGTAGGCTCTGTTCACTGGGAAAGAGAGCAAAAAATAAATAAATAAAAACCTGACTATCTATCTATTTTATACGACTATAATTATTCAAATCATGCACAAAGTGTTGCATATTTGAATTTCGTTGTCCAACCCTAGAAGTGATCATAAACCCTATATAGACGGAGGGGGGGGGGCACTAAAAGTGTCTACGCCAACTTTGATGGCGGATAGCGTCTGAGCGGCTTGCGCTAGAACCACCAAACTTTTCCTAAAATACATCTGGCAGCAATTTCATATCAATAAGTTACAAATTTTTCGTGTTGCCATGGCAACGGGTTTTGTTTGTGACACATTTTTTTTGCAAAATGCAATACTTTTCATTTAAACAAACTTTTCTGGATTTTATGTTATGAGGGGGGCCGAATGACCCCCCCCCCTCTCGTCCCACAAATCCCCCAAAAGCCCAGTCCAGATGTGGTAAATGTTGTGTGAGTAAAGGTCGAAATATGGCAATGTCTACTCACTTCCAGGAATGAACCGCAAGAAAGGGTAGACGGTGGTGATCTCTGCGGATCCGAATTCAGCGATGAGGCTTGTGATCGTCTTCAGGAGCTTGTGGAACGTTTCATCGTCGAACTCGTAGCGCTTGCCGAACTCCATGCCGCAGATCACGTTGGCGACCGCGACGTCCAAGTCGTGTGAGATGTCAAAGGGCTTTTCCTCGTATTCTACCATCTGAGGACGCATGTATCATCAAATAAGGAACAACGTGAACACCGGCTTCACGACATGCCGGCCGGCGACTAGTCGGGAGCATGCCGCGCGGGCCCCGTTAGAAATATGACTCCAGCTTTACTGCTTTGTGACCTTTTCAGCTAATCTCAAAGTAGATACACACACACACACACACACACACACACACTCGCACGCACACACACACACACACAAACACACACACATACTAGTAGTACACACACACACACACGCACACACACGCACGCACACACACACACACTCGCACGCACACACACACACTCGCACGCACACACACACAAACACACACACATACTAGTACACACACACACACACACACACACACACACACACACACACACATACACACACGCACACCTTACCCTGTGGCGGAGACAGTTCGCCTCTTCTTGGATTTGCCCTTCAATACTGCCCTTTCCGACCTTCATGCCCAGGCTCTTGAAGGTGGAGAAAGCGAACCTCCTTCTCTGCTTCAGCACTGTCCCCCAGCGTACAGTAAGGATGTCTTCAGGCAAAAAAAAAAGATACGTATTATTCCTACGGAATACGGTAACGTATACTCTAAAGGAAGTATGAGCTTGACGGTCGTACATCAATGCGGCACTTCTGAGCCCTTTTTGGAGTATAAAAATGCTCCACATACAAGACGAATTTGTATTTCCAAGGCCAACTACCCACATACTAAATATATAAAAGAGCCAAAATCCATCCAGATCACAAATATACACAGATATCCACACGCTGACGACGGTGAGTGAGATATTAATTAATCCATGTGCAAGAAGATTTCCGCTAAAGGCAAATGATTGTAGTTTGTAGATGAAAAGGGTATGAGAAACCGAATCAAATGCTTTGGCAAAGACGAGAAATAACATGTCTACTTGCCCCCCTCTGTCTAGTATGGACCCTACTTTGTGGTATGTTTCCAAAAGCTGAGTGGTGTTGGAACGGCCAGGTGTAAACCCATGTTGACAATTGTGAATGGTCCCACGCAATAAAGGAAATATAGCAATGTAAAGACAACGTTCAATGACTTTGCTTACAAGAGACAAGAGTTTTACTGAGTAAGGTGAGGCAAAGACATTACTCTGTGTAATGTCCTTGGGTGAAGTCATTGGTTGGCTACGTGCATGAGTTACATTGTTTTTTGAACTTTGAACATTTGGACCTTGAAGTGGTTTGTTTACTGATCGAGAAAAACTCTTGTGCAGAAATGAAGCTTGTTGTTGCTTATTCCATTAGGGCCATGCTGATTTGATAATATGGATGACATCCGCACGCGCATGAATTTTAGGCCGTTTCCAAAATAAATAAAAAATCAATAATACTGTAAATAGTGCAAAACAGTTGCAAAATGAGCAAATGTGTACCATAAGTTGCAAAATAATATTTGAAGACGATACCAATTTCATATAATGCCAAAATCAAACGAAAAAGACGAAAATGTAAAGAAATGAATTTGAAGAGTAGATTATTCGCCATCCCATACCCTGTGTCAATTGTTCAACCTTCATGACCACGTAGATTTCATGATGAAAGCATCTTTTTTTGCATATAAAATTTAATCCATCCAGACCTTATTAAGTGATGCTGAACACAAGTATGCAGAAACACAGACAGACGCATTGACAGACACACCCAGAACAATACTCCCTTTTCATGGAGGTAAATATCTACCCAGACCTTTGCTCCGGACTACTAAGTTTAGAAATGGCGATCTCCTGTTACTATTCATTGTGAGTGAAGCCATTTAATTTCGTTGTTTATGAACTTTGAACGCGTCCACTGATGTGGGTCTAATGTATTGTTCGAGAAAGGTTCATGCTTCGCAGAAAGAATGCTTGTTGACTTCGTTATCTTTGAAAATATGTAGGATAACTCAGTCCCGGTCCAGAAAAGTTTGCACATAGTGACGACGTCTACCTTCACCTAAATAACCATCTCAACGGTAACAATCATTTGCCTCTCAGAATGCAGCAAATGGCGATTGAGATGGTAAAAAATGCCACCATTTTCCGAAAGAATTCCCCAAAATACCTAGGAAGCTCAACGGGGAAAACTAACCTAGCATGATAGCAGTAAGGTCGTGCGTAGAAGAAGACAACTTTGCCCCTCTGGCTAAGGAAAAATGAATGAGGAATTTGAAGGAAAACTTACCCTTTCCGAAACCATAAACCGCATCAAGTATGTAGTGTGGCGGCCTGGAGGCGAACAGCTCGGACCTGTCCACGAGCGCGTCCTTGACGGCAGCGTAGCCGTTCAGAACCACCACATCTTCCATGCCCATCCTGACGGTGAAGACGTCCCCGTACTGCCGCCTCCACGCCGTCAGCTTGTGGTGAGGCGTTCGGCCCAAGGCGAGGAGGTGCCCGAGAACAGGCAAGCTTCCTGCCGGGTAGGGAGGCAGGTTCCTAGGGCGATTCAGGAGATACCATGCAAACAGGAAAGTCCCACAGAGAACGAGAACGGTCTGCAGATTCAGTCCAGAGATTTGAAAAATCTCCTGGACAGAATCAGTCATCCACTGGACACCACCGCCCATTTTCTCAAGAGTGTACTAGTCAATGACCCACGCCAGCCCGAATCAGGCGACCTGTGACCGTTACATTAATATTGTTTCAAGTACAGTGTTTGTTCAAGAAGTCAGTCCTAGGGGTCATTCGGCGCAATTTGACCTGTTGCCCATCTCGGGCCAAGGCGCTGGTTCGGCCCCACTTGGAATACAGTGCCACCGTCTGGGACCCGTACACCACCAAGGGGATACAGGCGGTGGAGGCCGTCCAGCGCAGGGCCGCCCGAGTGACCCTGAATGACTACCAGCGGACTAGCAGCGTGACACAAATGCTCAACGACCTGCAGTGGCCTCTCCTCTCCGAAAGGAGGAAGGCGCGCCTCACAACTTTTTATAAACTAACCCATAACATCATTAAGATCCCCACCAGCAACCTGCTCAAGCCAGCCAAAGGGCGTACCCGAGGGAGCCACCAGTATAAATATCAACCTATACACGCACGAACAGACGCCTACAAATATTCCTTCTTCCCTCGCACAATCCCCCAATGGAACGCCTTGCCTGGCCCGGTAGTTATGGCTCCCTCCGTTGAGTCCTTCCGGGCCAGGCTGGAGGCCTGCCCGCCTTAGACCAAGGCCTCCCCCCCCCAAAGTGCCCCATCAGAGGCTATATGGGGGTGTAGCCGGGGCTCACATAACATCTTTGAGCCCCGGCAAAGATGAAGACTTTGGGAGTGTACCAAACCAGGTGTGCGTCTTTTAATAAACAGAACTTATGTTATCATGAGCCATTACATAAGTGGCATTATCTACTGAAAAGTCATACATGATCGAAACGCCTGGAAAAAACACTGTACCTTCGCTTTGCATATGTCTATTATACATTGTTCATCAGCAATATGAAGGTCTTACACAAATATAAAATCAAGCAAACTATGAACAAGTGCATTATCGCATAAGCGGGTAAGCCATGTTTGCTGTTGTGTGTCCACTGTGTCTACCTTAAAGGTGTTCCCCCAGGCCATATAAGTACTGGCCAACATGTGACCTGCGCTTTTGTTGGTTGGGGTTATGAAGGAAGTAAGCAAAACGTATTAACATTTTCGGTCAAACGACGGAACCACGAGAGAACGAAAAAAATACAAATAAAACTCCAAAGTACGGCCTTTCACTTCTGTGGGATTTGTAGACCATTTTATTTATGACAGAACTGTTGAGCAACTTCTGAAAAAAATTTAGTCTAGAAAATTTGATATTTGTACATCGATTCATAACCCCCAAGAGAGCCTAATTTGCACCCTGTAAATGTAACCTGGCGAAGTGACGTCGACGTTTAGTAAATGAAGACTCGGAAGAAAAAACACCACCCGGACACCCAAGTATAGTAAGAAATGAGATTTTTAATATTCACAACTGTCCAAGATACGTGTCTGGACGTCTAGCTGCAAACCAGAAGATTAACAAGCAGCAAATCAGGAGGCTGCTGCTACAACTGTTCGGTCCAACTCGGCTGCTGTGGATGGTACAAACAACGAACGTGTGGAGAAACACCAGACACATGTTAACACTCGACTCTTCAGGTTTACAGTTGGGTTTTTCAACACTCAGGCATCTTGGAACATGGGATGCATTGTGGAGTAGTACATAAAGCGCAAGCGATGACTTCCCAGCTCTGTATACTTACTAGTATTTCTTACATGAACTTTGGTTAAACTATCCTGACCTTATAACATCCTCAAAATGGGTTCTCTAAGCAATTTGATAGTGCTAGTGCTGCAACCAAATCATATACAGTCATCATCATTATACCATCAAAGCTAGCCACCCTCCCACCCAAATTGTTGTCAATGAGGGAATACCAATACCAGTACTTTTCTTCAAGTAACTGTTAAGAGAATGTACAACATAGGTATCATTGCAGTTTCAGGGCAAAAGCTTGGACTAAATTCCCTTATTAGATTTAGGCAGGTACGACAATCAAAATTAGATTGACATGTTTTGGTGTTTTGTTACAAAAAACAGACTGTTGGTATTGATAATATACATTGTATATATCCCTGAAGTCATTTTGGTTGTGTAATTATAAGTTAGCCTGTACATTTTGCACTGATTATCTGATGTGTTAGCAATTAGCCCACTACACTGGTAAATGGAGGCGTCCATAGATGAAGCGCCATCTTGCAAGTCATCCATGAAGTGCACCTGAGTCATTAAACAAGAAACGAGCATCCCAATGATGTAGTTGATACATTCTCTTCTTATGACATAGCTGGTACAGATGTATGTGTTACTACAATGTAATGAAGCTTGTCACTGGCCATATTGATTACAGTTATATACCACAGGAGTTCTGATTGGTCAGTTGTCAGACTATGATTCCAAATATGGGCATCAGGTGACAGGACTGTATGTCCAAATATGGATATAATACAACGGCCATTCTGATTGGACAGTTGTGAGACTATGATTCCAAATATGGGCATTGGGTGACAGGACAGTACGTCCAAATATGGATATAATACAACAGCCATTCTGATTGGTCAGTTGTCAGACTATGATTCCAAATATGGGCATTAGGTGACAGGACTGTACGTCCAAATATGGATATAATACAACAGCCCAGTAAGTCCTAATATGGGCATGCCCAGATCAGCCAAATACATTTTTGGTGTATGTATAATAATTGTAGGTTTTCCCTATGAATTATGTTGATAGGTTACAAGATGAACACATGAATGGGTTACAATCAAATATATTCTTACTGTAGACCTTTTTTTCTTGTTGTTTCTTTCAAACATAAAATGATACCACAATAATTCAACCCCAAGTACAACAAAAAAAGCTGGATATTAACTTTCGACTCCACACCTACATAATAATTAAAACATATCTGACAATATCCAATAAAATCAACTCTTTCTACAATGGATACATATTTGATTCTGTGGAATGTTAGAATAGAAATCAATTTTTGTCTTTGAATTCTCACTTGATGGCATAAATACATCCCGAGATATAAATGTGATATCATAAGCAAATCAAAACCCCCAAATCAAAAACCTTACACAATGTTGTGGTAAGTCTGTGGCAAGATTGTCATATTTGCAGGCTGCCTACTATAATTGTACGGTGTCCTAGCCATTATTCCCAAAGTCTTGCCACAACGATCTACTACCAATGCTACTTCTCTGTACTAAATCTCTGCACAATCAGAGACCAGACACATTCAGAGTAGAACAAGCCAGAACACACTGTTTAGCAATTTTACATGCATGATGCTGCTATGCATTTTACACCTACTATTTTTTGGGAGCACGTGTTACGTGTGCATCTCGACCTATGCTGCTATTTAGTACAAAAGGTATACAATCGTTGCATAAGGTGTTCTGAATCATCCATACAAAAGATTTTTTTGATTTCCTAGAAGTCGACTTCCGTACTTATATAAGAAATATGACGGGAAATATCCGGACATCTCAGACTGTCATATTGCATGTAGCTCAACGGCGGTTCAGTTCTTAATCTGCCATTGGCTGATGGTGGTCACATGACACTCCTCCCGACATTTCCTGACCAATTTGCAAAAAACCATTACGAAAGAATTTTTCCTGCTCCTATATAATCAGTACTGAATACTGATGGAAACGAAAACCTAGTACGATATCATCACTCAATCCTACCCTGTTAGTTACAGTATGTTTTGCATGATAATTCAGTATTTGCTTGTTTTTCCTTACCTATTCCCGATCCTCCACTGTTTAATTTTTTTCACCCTCCCCCACTTCCATGATTAACATGTATGGAATTTCCATATACACACATATGGAATTTTTTGTTACTACCTACACATGTATGTATGTATGTCTTCACTGGCAGTTGCAATACTGTCAACTACAGGTAAAGCTGACCATCAGGCACTATTGTCTCAGATCTTTGGGCAGCCCTTGTGGGGTCCTCAGTAGACCCAGCTGACAGGCACCCACTGTGGTGTTGTGCAGACCTCCTCGATCGCGTTCTCCAGAATCCGTATCGTTTCTTCGATGTCGTTGTTTACGATGGTCAGGTCGAAGTAGTGCCCGTACGCTTGTCTCAGCATGTCAGACTCCCGCGCCAGTCGCTCCAAACTGTTGTCCTGGAATATACGAATACGGCAGTTTTAGTAACACATATGAAACCATACTGTCTCCTGCTACAGTTTCACTTGAGGTTTCACACTACAGTTCCACACAGGTTTAAATTTTCGTATGATACATTTAGCATTGGATTTTTGTTTGACATACAGTCATACAGTATTGTCCTGTTATTTAGTGCCAAATTTGTTTTCGAATAAAATGCATCCTAATACTAGGTATGGATATCCTTTTTCACTGAAATTTCAATGTCACTTTTCCGTAAGATCTTGCAACCTTTTTGTCAATATGAGAGTCCCAAAAAGTCATTATACAATGTTACAACTTACAAGTATTTCATATGAAAAATAATATCTAAGAAAATGTCCATCCCAGACTATGAAGAAAGAAAAGGTATACATTTACATCACATTTGACTGTATCCTACACTCAAGAAAACACAGTGCATACTAAGAACACAATGATGCATACTAAAAACTTAGACTAAACTTGGCAGCTTACTAAGTAAGCAACTTGGCCACCTTTAAGAAATGAGTTGAAATCAGTGCTATTTGTTAAGACACCAACACCGACACAGACACGAGACAGACACAGAAGATTAGTAAGGAAGCAGTCGACTTGCTTTTTTGGACAGACGGTCCTCTTCGTACAGACACTGAAAAGGGAAGAAGCGATGCAGCTAAACTACAAGAAACACTGGTCATCTCAATTTAGGAAAGTCACTGGCCATTTGGAATGTCAAGTAAAAATTAACATTTTGCATTCAAGTTTCACATCAGTGCGCAGGTCTTGATGTAAGGAGTATAGTGATATGAAAATTATTGTTCTGCAGTATTCATAACTTTAGATATCATTTATAGAAAATGCAAGCAGACCGACGGGTTTTTCAGCACCCCGACAGGGCTAGCAGCTACCCCGTCAGGACCAAATCACAGGACCGTCGGTGTAAAGTACTCACCCCGTCGGTGTAAGGTACTCACCCCGTCGGGGTGACACTGTCATAATCACTAAACCCGACGGGGTAATGTCACCCCGACGGGGTGGGAGTTCTGGTCAAAGAGGTGCAAAATCCCAAAACAAAGCCAGGAAAGGTGTGAATTGATCAGTCTATACACACCGACGGGGCAAGTTTACCCCGATCGGGGTGAGCTCTGATCCCGTCGGGGTGAGCTCAGACAGTCATCCAATCCAATTGATGTGCAAAATCGACATTATCAGGACAAAGAATAAGCATGGAGAGCACAATCCACACTCTTCTATCTGCCCCTTTCAGCCAACTATAAGGGTCACAAAAAAGAAAGATTCCAGAGAACTTACAAACACATACTCACTACTCCAAAGCTAAAGTCTAATAGAATTTTACCGACATGATCAATATTGACTGAAGGAGGCCATATAAAATAATACTTAAATTTATTTCCTTCAGTCTATTTGTAAGAATTGAGATGTAGAACACACAGGTCTTGCAAATAAATTGATCAAGTTCCTCAATTGCTATTACACTGGCCACAATATTCGGGGATCGAAATTAATGGCTTAGCAGCTGAAAACAGTCAGTCGTTCTTGTGAATATTGCCCAGTGCCCACAAATTTTCATATGGTCATAATCGTGTCATATAATGAGCAAAATGCCTTAGCTGGTCAAGAATGGGAGCAATCTCTGATAATTGTCACAAAAAAGGGAGGTTCTCTCTTTTACCTCCTTTGTCTGAGTGGAAGGAGGCCCTTTGTCTGTCATTCAAAATACACACTGCAAGCAGTGCAAATCAGGACTCACTATTCTTCTCAGATATTTGGAGGCATCATGATAAGAAATATGTTGAGAAACTAGGAAGTTGGAACATACATTAATTTTGAACCTTGGTACCACCAGGTGCAGAGTATTTTTGTGAGGATGTCATGAAATCTTTAAACCAAGGAGCTTTAAAAAGCTTGGTGTGACTTGCTGAGAAACTTGACATCGTGTGTATTTTGTCCCATTGTTCTGTCTGAGACAAGTTAATTGGCTGCATTGTTTACTTATTGAGACTTTTTACAGCGAAAGGAGCTTTCATCAATTTTAATGAAAGCTCTTTGCAGCCACTTATAATAATAGGTAGACACACAAGCGGCCATTGGTGCCCTACAAAATAGTCTGAGTACATCCTACATTCATATTTCATGGCTGGAGAAATACTTGAATGATGTGTTTTTGTCTACTGTATAACTACTACGGTCAAAATGTACTTCTGTAAATGGGGAGAAACGACACTTTGGGTGGGTGGGGACATTTTGTAGCATGGTCTGTTCCATCAAGGTCCTTGGTTCCATTTGCTGTAGGATCTCCAAGCAGATCCTATACTGTGACAAAGCTGACAGCCTTGTCACAGTAGGATCTGCTTGGAGATTATAGGTCGGTGGGTGTGATGTTTGAAGAAAAAAGTGATTTTGCCCTTCTCTGATAACTTTCTTTTCTACAGACCCTGGAGTATTTTCTACATTACAACCACAGCAATGATATACAAATGTACTAGACTAAATATTTTCTATGCAAGAAGGTATAAAATGAAATTTAATAGGGAGGACACCATTACTGTCCTTTCAAAGAGTTTGCCTCAGGTGTGCAGTTCCAACTTCACGTTGAGGTGCCAATTACCCCCAATTTACATAATGTGCACTGGCTTGGGTTGGCTTGAGAGTTGAGACCTTTGTTTTTGTTCAGAGAACTGTGGTGACTGGAAATGAAGCACTAGCTCCAAGCAGATCCTAAGGTGGCAAAAAGAAATATGAAATTGGCCAGGCAGTATCCATCGGCCAGAGAGGGTCCAATTTTCCTTGGGTTGGAGATAAGAAATAAAGGACAGTATCCTGACCAAGAAGGTTTATTGCAAGTCAGATATCCTGAGCTGTTATTAGATTGTGCCCGGTCAGTTTCAACCTGTCGACTCACCCAGAAAACTACAACTTTGAGTGGGTTGATTTTGCTTTTAGCAAATTTTCAGGGAAGAAGAAGGAATTTCAGTGGCAAAGCAATCAGAATCCCATAGACTTTTGAGACAGTAGGGACAGAGGGTTCAAAAAAGTGGGGGGGGAGGGAAATGTTAGCTTATTTAAGTCACTAAATTTGCCCAGTCATGCTCAACAGTTGTGCTAGGTAGATAGACCTCTCTGATGTGCCTGGTAAATGCAACTACTTGTACATACCAGGATGCATTATTAACAAGTATCCAATGCATGAAATTTATATACAACTAGTACTGGTTTCCAAACCTGGCTCATGCTAATAATTCAGTCATTAAAATCTTTAAAAAGTGGCTAAAATATTCCTTAGAATCTAGCCAACATGGTTAAAGTTTACCTATTTGCTATTGTAAGCACTATTCACATGACATTAATCAAAATGCCAAACAAATGGATAAACCTGGAATTTGTTTATATTCAGTCTTTGTTTTGGTCCGTCCATATTGGGGCAAATTATTCTTGTGTTGGCGGCCATGTTTTTGACTGTGAAGTTGAAATATGATTGAAATATTGGAAAGTTGTTCCAGATTATTTCCAGTTTTGGCAACAAAATACTAGACTAAGTATATATAAATATGAGCCTAAATACTTAGACTAAGTAGATAAGCAAGAAGCCTAATATTCACAACTTGAGCCTGCTTTCAAAGCAAGGAATTATACAATCCTCTATTTCTGTCCAACAGTACCCATTCGGTAATTATTCTGCTCCAGGTACAATTGTTATGCGGGTTAAAACTAGGTCAGCTATTGTTCTTGACATGCAAATGTCACTGTCCAATTATCAACTTGATACAAATTATCCTATAAGGGAGTGTGTTACATGCCAAATTACTGGTAGTATCTCGGCAGCTTGTACTGGGTCACCAAGGAAAAGCCAGAAAGATAGCCCATGTGAAAACTAAAGAACATTGTAATTGACTATTTGGCCCTTCATCCAGTCAGATTTTCTGCTATCTGGCACCTAACATTGCACTTGGCCATGGGTTTATAGATACATGTAGTAGTATGTGTATTTTTGTTTGCTGCATTGACTGTTAGCACCTATGAAGTATAAAAAAATAATAGCAATGGTTACAGATTTTATATGATG